CAGAGGCATGTCTAGGTTATTAGTATAGCACAGCTCAGACACAGGACAACGTCCTGAACAAACACGACGGAAAGTAAGGAAATAAGTTAATTATTACAGAACATCAAAAAGAGTAAAAATAAAATCCCTAAATTTTGGCAGAAACAGTTTTTAACATTGTCAGAGAAGAAGTCTGTCTCACACTTTCAGGAAGACTGTTCCAGATTTCAGCTATAGGTGAAGGAGAAGAGAGGCCTGAGTCTGCTCCACACCAGAACTCTCAGACTCTCAGACTCAGACTCTCAGACTCTCAGACTCTCGGACTCTCAGACTCTCGGACTCTCAGACTCTCAGACTCAGACTCTCAGACTCAGACTCTCAGACTCTCGGACTCTCAGACTCTCGGACTCTCAGACTCTCAGACTCAGACTCTCAGACTCTCGGACTCTCAGACTCTCGGACTCTCAGACTCTCAGACTCAGACTCTCAGACTCAGACTCTCAGACTCTCGGACTCTCAGACTCAGACTCAGACTCTCAGACTCTCAGACTCTCAGACTCAGACTCAGACTCTCAGACTCTCGGACTCTCAGACTCAGACTCAGACTGTCAGACTCAGACTCTCAGACTCAGACTCAGACTCTCAGACTCAGACTCTCAGACTCTCAGACTCTCAGACTCAGACTCAGACTCTCAGACTCTCAGACTCTCAGACTCAGACTCAGACTCTCAGACTCTCAGACTCTCAGACTCAGACTCAGACTCAGACTCAGACTCAGACTCTCAGACTCAGACTCTCAGACTCAGACTCAGACTCTCAGACTCAGACTCTCAGACTCAGACTCAGACTCAGACTCAGACTCTCAGACTCTCAGACTCAGACTCAGACTCTCAGACTCTCAGACTCAGACTCAGACTCAGACTCTCAGACTCTCAGACTCAGACTCTCAGACTCAGACTCTCAGACTCAGACTCAGACTCTCAGACTCAGACTCTCAGACTCAGACTCTCAGACTCTCAGACTCAGACTCTCAGACTCAGACTCTCAGACTCTCAGACTCTCAGACTCTCAGACTCTCAGACTCAGACTCAGACTCAGACTCAGACTCAGACTCTCAGATTCTCAGACTCAGACTCTCAGACTCAGACTCTCAGACTCTCAGACTCAGACTCTCAGATTCTCAGACTCAGACTCTCAGACTCAGACTCTCAGACTCAGACTCTCAGACTCAGACTCTCAGACTCTCAGACTCTCAGACTCTCAGACTCTCAGACTCAGACTCAGACTCAGACTCAGACTCTCAGACTCTCAGACTCAGACTCTCAGACTCAGACTCTCAGACTCAGACTCAGACTCAGACTCTCAGACTCTCAGACTCTCAGACTCTCAGACTCTCAGACTCAGACTCAGACTCAGACTCAGACTCTCAGACTCTCAGACTCAGACTCAGACTCTCAGACTCAGACTCTCAGACTCAGACTCAGACTCAGACTCAGACTCTCAGACTCAGACTCTCAGACTCAGACTCAGACTCTCAGACTCAGACTCTCAGACTCAGACTCAGACTCAGACTCTCAGACTCTCAGACTCAGACTCAGACTCTCAGACTCTCAGACTCAGACTCAGACTCAGACTCTCAGACTCTCAGACTCAGACTCAGACTCTCAGACTCTCAGACTCAGACTCTCAGACTCAGACTCAGACTCTCAGACTCTCAGACTCTCAGACTCTCAGACTCAGACTCTCAGACTCTCAGATTCTCAGACTCAGACTCTCAGACTCAGACTCAGACTCAGACTCTCAGACTCAGACTCAGACTCTCAGACTCAGACTCTCAGACTCAGACTCAGACTCAGACTCAGACTCTCAGACTCAGACTCTCAGACTCAGACTCTCAGACTCAGACTCTCAGACTCAGACTCTCAGACTCTCAGACTCAGACTCTCAGACTCTCAGACTCTCAGACTCTCAGATTCTCAGACTCAGACTCTCAGACTCTCAGACTCAGACTCTCAGACTCTCAGATTCTCAGACTCAGACTCAGACTCAGACTCTCAGACTCTCAGACTCTCAGACTCAGACTCAGACTCTCAGACTCTCAGACTCTCAGACTCTCAGACTCTCAGATTCTCAGACTCAGACTCTCAGACTCTCAGACTCTCAGACTCAGACTCAGACTCAGACTCAGACTCTCAGACTCTCAGACTCAGACTCAGACTCTCAGACTCAGACTCTCAGACTCAGACTCAGACTCAGACTCAGACTCTCAGACTCAGACTCTCAGACTCTCAGACTCAGACTCAGACTCTCAGACTCTCAGACTCTCAGACTCTCAGACTCTCAGACTCAGACTCTCTCAGACTCTCAGACTCAGACTCAGACTCTCAGACTCTCAGACTCTCAGACTCTCAGACTCTCAGACTCAGATCTCAGACTCTCAGACTCTCAGACTCTCAGACTCTCAGACTCTCAGACTCTCAGACTCTCAGACTCAGACTCTCAGACTCTCAGACTCTCAGACTCTCAGACTCTCAGACTCTCAGACTCTCAGACTCTCAGACTCTCAGACTCTCAGACTCTCAGACTCTCAGACTCAGACTCAGACTCTCAGACTCAGACTCAGACTCTCAGACTCAGACTCAGACTCTCAGACTCTCAGACTCTCAGACTCTCAGACTCTCAGACTCTCAGACTCTCAGACTCAGACTCTCAGACTCTCAGACTCAGACTCAGACTCTCAGACTCTCAGACTCTCAGACTCTCAGATTCTCAGACTCAGACTCTCAGACTCAGACTCTCAGACTCAGACTCAGACTCTCAGACTCTCAGACTCTCAGACTCTCAGACTCAGACTCTCAGACTCTCAGACTCTCAGACTCAGACTCTCAGACTCAGACTCAGACTCTCAGACTCTCAGACTCTCAGACTCTCAGACTCAGACTCAGACTCTCAGACTCTCAGACTCAGACTCAGACTTTCAGACTCTCAGACTCTCAGACTCAGACTCTCAGATTCTCAGACTCAGACTCTCAGACTCAGACTCTCAGACTCTCAGACTCTCAGACTCAGACTCTCAGACTCTCAGACTCTCAGACTCAGACTCTCAGACTCAGACTCTCAGACTCTCAGACTCAGACTCTCAGACTCTCAGACTCTCAGACTCAGACTCAGACTCTCAGACTCTCAGACTCTCAGACTCTCAGACTCAGACTCTCAGACTCTCAGACTCTCAGACTCTCAGACTCTCAGACTCTCAGACTCTCAGACTCTCAGACTCTCAGACTCTCAGACTCAGACTCAGACTCTCGGACTCTCAGACTCTCAGACTCTCAGACTCAGACTCTCAGACTCTCAGACTCAGACTCAGACTCTCAGACTCTCAGACTCTCAGACTCAGACTCTTAGACTCAGACTCTCAGACTCAGACTCTCAGACTCAGACTCAGACTCTCAGACTCTCAGACGCTCAGACTCTCAGACTCTCAGACTCAGACTCTCAGACTCTCAGACTCTCAGACTCTCAGACTCTCAGACTCTCAGACTCTCGGACTCTCGGACTCTCAGACTCTCAGACTCAGACTCTCAGACTCTCAGACTCTCAGACTCAGACTCAGACTCTCAGACTCAGACTCTCAGACTCTCAGACTCTCAGACTCTCAGACTCTCAGACTCTCAGACTCAGACTCAGACTCTCAGACTCAGACTCTCAGACTCTCAGACTCTCAGACTCTCAGACTCTCAGACTCAGACTCAGACTCAGACTCTCAGACTCAGACTCTCAGACTCTCAGACTCTCAGACTCAGACTCAGACTCAGACTCTCAGACTCAGACTCTCAGACTCTCAGACTCTCAGACTCTCAGACTCTCAGACTCAGACTCAGACTCTCAGACTCTCAGACTCAGACTCTCAGACTCTTCAGACTCTCAGACTCAGACTCTCAGACTCTCAGACTCTCAGACTCTCAGACTCTCAGACTCAGACTCAGACTCAGACTCTCAGACTCAGACTCTCAGACTCAGACTCAGACTCTCAGACTCAGACTCTCAGACTCAGACTCTCAGACTCTCAGACTCAGACTCAGACTCTCAGACTCTCAGACTCTCAGACTCAGACTCTCAGACTCAGACTCTCAGACTCAGACTCTCAGACTCAGACTCTCAGACTCAGACTCAGACTCTCAGACTCAGACTCTCAGACTCTCAGACTCAGACTCTCAGACTCAGACTCTCAGACTCAGACTCTCAGACTCAGACTCAGACTCTCAGACTCTCAGACTCAGACTTTCAGACTCTCAGACTCTCAGACTCTCAGACTCTCAGACTCAGACTCAGACTCAGACTCAGACTTTCAGACTCTCAGACTCTCAGACTCTCAGACTCTCAGACTCAGACTCAGACTCAGACTCAGACGCTCAGACTCAGACTCAGACTCTCAGACTCTCAGACTCTCAGACTCTCAGACTCAGACTCAGACTCAGACTATCAGGGGGAGGCGCAGATGCCCACCTCCTCCTGATCCATCGATGCTCAGAACAGTTATGTAACTGTCTGTTCTGCTCCGTCAGAGACAGTGCATCTGCTGCTAAAGAACCTGGACCCAGTCAGGTCTGAGCCAGACTCAGGTCTTTGCGAGTCACCCTCGGGTCTACAGCCTCAGTCCTGGGTCTACAGCCTCAGTCCTGGGTCTACAGCCTCATTCCTGGGTCTACAGCCTCAGTCCTGGGTCTACAGCCTCAGTCCTGGGTCTACAGTCTCAGTCCTGGGTCTACAGCCTCAGTCCTGGGTCTACAGCCTCAGTCCTGGGTCTACAGCCTCAGTCCTGGGTCTACAGCCTCAGTTCTACAGCCAGTCTGTCCATGGAAGCATACATACATATAACATGCCTTAGTAGCCCATTACATCAATGCTACAAATTCACAAGAATAATAGAAAATCATTTTTGGGGCCTCTGAAATTCGTCTTGTCGGCCGGATTTGGTCCACGAGCCTGAGTTTGAGTCTGGAGTGGACAGAGTTCTCTTCATGCTGCTCCAGATGGCACACAGCTGGTTCTTAGATCAGCATTTCACACACAGAGAAGTCAGACTGAGTGAGCTGATTTTCCTCCTGATACAAACCCTCTCCACAAGTCGTTGATATTTAACGCTTGGTTTGTCCGTTTATTCCAAAAAGCCTGAAAGAAAAGCGGACACAGACGACTGATAAAACCATTAGAACCTCTTTGTAAACCCGCGCCCTGCAGCCGTCCAAAGCCACTTTACAACATTTCTCTATTCCTGCCTGATCACTGGACCTGCTCGCTCGTAAACACCAACACCGTCCCAGGTCTGAAAACCGCTGCCGCTGCATTCTTCTAATCACTCTGCAAATATTGGCTCGGAGGAATAAAAACGCACATGGCCCTGAGATCCAATTTGTGCACCAATTACTTTCACGGTCCACTTCCCGGCTAATACAAAAAAAGCCAGATTATCCGCTGGATGTCGGCGCGGGCTAATTACGAGCTAAGACAAAGCAAAACACAATCTGTGACTCGTGGCAGCAGGATTTTCAGGATTAGAAGGTTCAAAAAGGGTTAAAAGTTGCATTTCTCCTCAAACAACTTCAATCAGCAAGACTGTGTGTGCGCGACGAGTCTGCTGCAGGGGACCTTTAATGTGAGCACTCTCCTCCCCCATAATGGGACCTTTCTGATCTGAACCTGAAGACTGTCTCCCCCTGGACCGTCTCCCCCTGGACCGTCTCCCCCTGGACCGTCTCCCCCTGGACCGTCTCCCCCTGGACCGTCTCCCCCTGGACTGTCTCCCCCTGGACGGTCTTCCCCTGGCCGGTCTTCCCCTGGACTGTCTCCCCCTGGACTGTCTCCCCCTGGCCGGTCTCCGCAGGACTGTCTCCCCCCTGGCCAGTCCCCCCCTGGACTGTCTCCCCCTGGCCGGTCTCCCCCTGGACTGTCTCCCCCTGGACTGTCTACCCTTGGGCTGCAGTCTCCCCCTCATTCTTATGTGGGGGAAGTATCTTGCCTAAGGACACAGCCACAGTTTTGCACTTTACAGCCTCAGCCACCTCACTGTGGCTGTTCAGAGGTCTCCCATCACAGCACTAACCAGGCCCTGGCCTGCTCAGCCTCAGAGGTCTGACAGGATCTGGCTTTCACCTGCAGCTATGGCCACATTTACTCCGTACATGGAGAGGCCAGAGTCTAATCAGATCATCGGAGATCCAGAGGTTGCTTCTTGTCCCTCTTCACTTCCTCTTCCTCTTCCTCTAACGATGCATCTGATTCCAGAGTGTTGTCAATAATCTCATCATTCTCCAGTCGCTGCAGCACTCTGACCTTTATGCTAATCTAATTGCTGAGGTTAACACACTCCTGACTCTGCTGTTGCTCCTTCAGCCTGTGGCTCTGCTCCTCATCAATTACCTGCACCGTGCTGCTGCAGGCGGCACCAACATGTCAGCCCCCGCTCCCAGACAGCCCCCCCCCACGGCATACATTACACAAACCCCAGAATGCACCACGTCTGCTTGTCAAGAAGTCTGAGACAAAAGGAGCAGGATGCAAAACAAGCCAGAGGACTCCACCGGCCGCTGATAAACACGGGAACAAGAAAGTGGGCCGAGAAATGTGTTTCCCGAGCCGATAACAGGAGACAGCTGCAGTACCACACAGCCACCTGCAGGGGCAGCGCAGGCCTGTGTGTGTCTGCGGAGGCCTGTGTGTGTCTGTGGAGGCCTGTGTGTGTCTGTGGAGGCCTGTGTGTGTCTGCGGAGGCCTGTGTGTGTCTGCGGAGGCCTGTGTGTGTCTCTGCTATTGTTGGCTTCAGTTCAGACTCATTCATCAAACTGAAAAGGCCTGTTTCTCGCAGACAGAATGGTACACAGCGTTTCAGCGAACAATGAGGAAGTGGAAGTGGAAGTGTCCTGTAGGAAGAGACAGAAACCACAGAGGCTCAGTGGGATCAAGCCCACCATGAGACCTGCTCCCACTGATGTCTGCTGTCGTTGAGACCCTGGGGAAGACACTTACCCCCACTTTGCCTGAAGCCCCTGTCGGACCCACCCCTGCAGAGGATCAGAGGGACTTGGGTGCAGCTCTGACTGTCATCCCCCCGACCCAGAAATGGACTAACAAAGGGGGAGATCATGGATGAATGAAAACCCAGTGAGTTACTTCACTTGTTACTACTAATGATTTGTTTTTTATTTTCACAAAACGTGACTTGATGGCGACAATGTCTCTCAGCAGGTGAGACGGTAAATATCAGTTTCACGGTCAGTAAAGGAGGCCCCTGGACTAAAGTCAGATCCACTTTACTGTCCCCAAAGGAAACGTGCTGCACAGATCTGAAAGAACACAGCAGGACCTGGAAGTCTGTGTTTTTTACAATTCCACATAATTGAATATGTGGAATTCGGCGGCACGGTGGCTGAGTGGATAGCACTCTCGCCTCTCAGCAAGAAGGTCCTGGGTTCGAATCCCGGTCGGACCAGGGCCTTTCTGAGTGGAGTTTGCATGTTCTCCCCGTGTCTGCGTAGGTTTCCTCCGGGTACTCCGGTTTCCCCTACCACTAAAAATATGTCCAATAGTTCTAGCATGCGCCTCCTGTACTGGCCCCGCTCCCATCTCTGTGTGGAGTGAGAGACAAATGCCCAAAAAAAATTAATTGAGACTCAGATCTGCAGTGAAAATGCGGTATATAAATAAAGATTACTTACTTATTTATTACTTACTTGAATATAATACTTGGTAAGTCGTTTGTGGACCCCACCGGCTTCCAGCTTTCACCTGCAGGTGGCGCTACACACAGGAGCCTCTGTGTCTGAGTGACCTGGGTGATGTGTAAAACAGGTTGTGTTGGTTTAAGAGCGCTGGTGGCAAACAGAGCATCAGGATCTGTCCAGGATGTGTTTGCCCGGAGGACACACCCACGTCACATGACCACACCCACGTCACATGACCACACCCACGTCACATGACCACACTCTGCTCTGCACTGCATGGACCAAACTGAAACTCTTTAAACACATGGATCTTCTCTGCAGCAGGAGGAGCGTGAAGGAGACACAAACCCGTGAGTTATGACCTTATTCTACAGTTATGTGTCAGGCTGCTGTCAGACTGTACAACGAGCAACCAGGACTAAGAGACACTGCTGACCTGACATGTCGTACATCTGTGCAACTATTTTAATAATGTCAGAATGTCAAATATAGAGCCACATGAGTGACTTTTACCCAGAGCCTGCTGCGGTGGATTCATCAGTGAACATTGGAACATTACAACGTACCTTAATATTTATGCACAAGAGTTTTACAGATGAATCTATAGAATTATTATTATTATTATTATTATTAAGACAAACAAACTGGTTACATGGATCTTATCACATAGTTACAGTATTTGTGTGTGATTTAAAAGTCAGATACCTGAGCTTTAATGATTACGTGCAAATATTTTCTTCAGGGCCACATTTCACTGTTTAATGTGGTTTATCTTAATCTATTTTAGTTTAAGAACATGAAGATATCCTGTGTTTTGAGAAGATTATTATTATTATTATTATTATTATAGCATTGCGGGTTCATTAATTAGAACCAAATAAATGAGTAACATTCCGTGGCAGCACAAAGTAAGTTTAAAGCCGTCTTTGAGGAATGAGTCCAGATCAAAAGAATGTGCAACAACTTCTGTGCATGCGTCAGCTGCACAAGCTCCATTCATTTAAACAGAGACTTCTAAAGTCCACAGCGACTAAACTAGACTGGTCCAGAACACTCAGCATTGACACACACATGTGTGTGTCAATGCTGAGGTAAGAAGAGGTAAGAAGATGCTATATGTTAGCATTGGCTAATTCTTATTCTGGGTCCACCCCCACAGGCCCGGGGTGGTACTGCAGCATGTCAGGGTCCACCCCCACAGGCCCGGGGTGGTACTGCAGCGTGTCAGCGCACGTCATTTTGGACACTTTTGAGCCGGGACCCGCCCACACTGGTTCGGATTAATTTTTAAAAAGCAACAGAATGGTTTAAGGTAAAGGTCTAGAGGCCGCATAGAAATGAGAATGGGGCCGGATGTGGGCCCCGGGCCGGACTTTGCCCAGGTCTGATTTAACTTCACAATCGACACATGTCTCGTATTCTGTCAGTTGTATCTGTGATGATGATGATGATGATGATGATGATGATGATGATGATGATGATGATGATGATGATGATGATGATGATGGTCCCAGGTCTCGCGCAGCACCAGGATGGCAGAGCGATTGGTGAACAGCTACGGCAGCATCTGGGAACTGACCAATCAGGTGAGAGCTCCACACTGTGGTCTTTAACGACCGCCTCGACCACGAGCTTCCTCAGTCCTGGGTCTACAGCCTCAGTCCTGGGTCTACAGCCTCAGTCCTGGGTCTACAGCCTCAGTCCTGGGTCTACAGCCTCAGTCCTGGGTCTACAGCCTCAGTCCTGGGTCTACAGCCTCAGTCCTGGGTCTACAGCCTCAGTCCTGGGTCTACAGTCTCAGTCCTGGGTCTACAGTCTCAGTCCTGGGTCTACAGTCTCAGTCCTGGGTCTACAGTCTCAGTCCTGGGTCTACAGCCTCAGTCCTGGGTCTACAGTCTCAGTCCTGGGTCTACAGTCTCAGTCCTGGGTCTACAGTCTCAGTCCTGGGTCTACAGCCTCAGTCCTGGGTCTACAGCCTCAGTCCTGGGTCTACAGTCTCAGTCCTGGGTCTACAGCCTCAGTCCTGGGTCTACAGCCTCAGTCCTGGGTCTACAGCCTCAGTCCTGGGTCTACAGCCTCAGTCCTGGGTCTACAGCCTCAGTCCTGGGTCTACAGCCTCAGTCCTGGGTCTTCTACAGCCTCAGTCCAGGGTCTACAGCCTCAGTCCTGGGTCTACAGCCTCAGTCCTGGGTCTACAGCCTCAGTCCTGGATCTACAGCCTCAGTCCTGGGTCTACAGCCTCAGTCCTGGGTCTACAGCCTCAGTCCTGGGTCTACAGCCTCAGTCCTGGGTCTACAGCCTCAGTCCTGGGTCTAAAGCCTCAGTCCTGGGTCTTCAGCCTCAGTCCTGGGTCTTCAGCCTCAGTCCTGGGTCTACAGCCTCAGTCCTGGGTCTACAGCCTCAGTCCTGGGTCTACAGCCTCAGTCCTGGGTCTACAGCCTCAGTCCTGGGTCTACAGCCTCAGTCCTTGATACTCTAATCTGGTACTTTGGTAAAGTATTTGCTGAGACGATGCTGTTGTGATTCAGGCTGAACAAAGAGGTTCTGGGTTCGAGTCTCATGAGGCCGGTCTGGATCCAGGTCATATTTACATAAGTCTTGTGTGTGATAATTGCGTGACACTTTTGGTCTTTGAGGCGCACAGACTGAGCACACATCCCACAGAGAAGAACAACTCAATTAAACGTGTTTGATTATCGCCTAAATCTCAACAGCCGCCGTCTCAAAGTTATGGATTCACCAACAACAGATCAGAGAATCACACAGTTACAAACACAACTAACAAAGTCTTATTATACGACTTGGATCGTACGCGCGCTCTGATTGGCTGATTCGCGGTCTGATATTTTCCCATCTCGGACCGTTACCATGACAACCGCAGAGCGTATCAGACTAAAAACACGATAAGGAACGGACATGAACATACTTCACAAATATCTCAAAAGCATTGGTAAAGACACAGATGAGAACAGATAATAAAACATTTATTAACCTCGCGCTCGGTTAATAAGCCGTTATTATCTGATCTTAACGAAGACAAAGGAGGTTTTGCTCAGTGGAAAAACCAGTCTCATCCTGTTTGCTCTGCCTCCAACACCATCCTCCCTGCTCCAGGACTAGCTCTCCCTGCTCCAGGACTAGCTCTCCCAGCTCCAGGACTAGCTCTCCCTGCTCCAGGACAAGCTCTCCCTGCTCCAGGACTAGCTCTCCCTGCTCCAGGACTAGCTCTCCCTGCTCCAGGACTAGCTCTCCCTGCTCCAGGACAAGCTCTCCCTGCTCCAGGACTAGCTCTCCCTGCTCCAGGACTAGCTCTCCCAGCTCCAGGACTAGCTCTCCCTGCTCCAGGACAAGCTCTCCCTGCTCCAGGACTAGCTCTCCCTGCTCCAGGACTAGCTCTCCCTGCTCCAGGACTAGCTCTCCCTGCTCCAGGACTAGCTCTCCCAGCTCCAGGACTAGCTCTCCCTGCTCCAGGACTAGCTCTCCCTGCTCCAGGACTAGCTCTCCCTGCTCCAGGACAAGCTCTCCCTGCTCCAGGACAAGCTCTCCCTGCTCCAGGACAAGCTCTCCCAGCTCAACGTGCCCGATTCCACCTGCAGGTGGATCACTGACTTCCTGACGGACAGGAAGCAGCGAGTGCGTCTGGGGAAGAATGTCTCGGACTCTCGGATTATAAATACAGGAGCCCCACAGGGCTGTGTTCTTTCTCCCCTGCTCTTCTCCCTGTACACCAACCACTGCACCTCCAGCCACGACTCCGTGAAGCTGATCAAGTTCGCGACACCACTTCCCATCGCTGCAGGACCTGTACGTTGCCCGAGCTCGAGGCCAAGCTGGTCGTATCACAGCCGACCCCTCTCACCTGCACATGGACTGTTCCAACCACTCCCCTCTCACCTGCACATGGACTGTTCCAACCTCTCCCCTCTTCTCACGTCTCTCACACTGTGATGTCACATGTGCCTCATGCTGTGATGTCCCATGTGTAACCTCTGAGTCTAAGTTGGTTCCTGTGCAGAGCCAGTGTTTGTCTAAGAGCTGATCCTGTGTTTACTTAAGACTCAGTAAAGAAAGCTTCTGGCTGCAACAATATTTCTTTCTTTCTTTCTTTCTTTTGTGAAACTGGGAGGTTCAAGGTTTGGTATAAACTGCAAACAGTGATGGATGATAAGTCAAAAAAATCTCTAATTCAGTAAAATGTGTCTTGATCTGAGCACATTCTGACTGAGCCTTAGAACCACATTCTCCAGTGGGACAAAGCAAAATTATGTCTTTTTAAAAACATACAGACATGTCTCCTTTGGAATGAGAAAACGAACTTATTGACTGTCAGTGTCTGAGACCCTCTGTTGGACTGATCACAGGAGAATAAAAACAGCTAGAAACAAACTAATGTTTGCTTTGTTGTAGTGTAGTGAGTTTAAAAACCTTTTAAGGCTGCGTCCTAGAGAAGGCTAAAGAAAAGGACCAGGACAAGGAGGTATTTTGGATGAATTTGGATGCAGCCCGTGTTTAACTTGGAGCAGGAAACAGGAAGTCCTGGAAAAGGAAATATAATCACAAGAATAAAGTGTAGCTAATGAGGTTGGAGTCAAAACATCTGTGAAACCCTAAAGAGCAGGAGAACAGAGAGAGGACAGAGGAGAGAGGAGAGAGGACAGAGGACAGAGGACAGAGGACACAGAGGAGAGAGGACAGAGGAGAGAGGACAGAGGAGAGAGGACAGAGGACAGAGAGAGGACAGAGGAGAGAGGAGAGAGGACAGAGGACAGAGGAGAGAGAGAGGACAGAGGACAGAGGACAGAGGAGAGAGGACAGAGGACAGAGGACAGAGGACAGAGAGAGGACAGAGGAGAGAGGAGAGAGGACAGAGGACAGAGGAGAGAGAGAGGACAGAGGACAGAGGACAGAGGAGAGAGGACAGAGGACAGAGGACAGAGGACAGAGAGAGGACAGAGGACAGAGGACAGAGGACAGAGGACAGAGAGAGGACAGAGGACAGAGGACATAGGAGAGAGGACACAGGAGAGAGGACAGAGGAGAGAGGAGAGAGGACAGAGGACAGAGGAGAGAGAGAGGACAGAGGACAGAGGACAGAGGAGAGAGGACAGAGGACAGAGGACAGAGGACAGAGGAGAGAGGACAGAGGACAGAGGACAGAGAGAGGACAGAGGACAGAGGACAGAGGACAGAGGACAGAGAGAGGACAGAGGACAGAGGACAGAGGAGAGAGGACAGAGGACAGAGGACAGAGGAGAGAGAGAGGACAGAGGACAGAGGACAGAGAGAGGACAGAGGACAGAGGACAGAGGACAGAGGACAGAGGACAGAGAGAGGACAGAGGACAGAGGACAGAGAGAGGACAGAGGAGAGAGGACAGAGAGAGGACAGAGGAGAGAGGACAGAGGACAGAGGAGAGAGAGAGGACAGAGGACAGAGGAGAGAGAGAGGACAGAGGAGAGAGGACAGAGGACAGAGGACAGAGGACAGAGAGAGGACAGAGGAGAGAGGACAGAGAGAGGACAGAGGACAGAGGACAGAGGACAGAGAGAGGACAGAGGAGAGAGGACAGAGAGAGGACAGAGGAGAGAGGACAGAGGACAGAGGACAGAGAGATGGAGGTAACTTTCAGCAGCAGAATGGACTTTTGACAGTATTTAACTCTGGTGTTTTGAGCAGACGGAGTTTGTGGATCAGAACGTGTTCAGTGACGGCTGCACCAAAGTCGGTAAGTTTGCTTTTCATTTATTTCATTGAATAAATACAAAAAGGGATGGAAGTCAAAAACTGCTCAAATTTGTCAAAATGTGCAAATTCTGCCTTAAAACAAGATTCTCCAATGGGACAAAAGCAGAAAGGTACAAGAAATTTGGAATGAGAAAATAGTTCTTGGATTAAAACTAAATGTCTTTGTCCCACTGAAGCTTTTATGACCTCATGGCAGAACCAGACACAGAACCAGACACAGAACCAGACACAGAACCAGACACAGAACCAGACACAGAACCAGACACAGAACCAGACACAGAACCAGACACAGAACCAGACACAGAACCAGAAACAGAACCAGACACAGAACCAGACATAGAACCAGACACAGAACCAGACACAGAACCAGACACAGAGTTTTGAAGATCAGATGTCGCTGGAAACTGTTTCTCTAAAGACGCTCATGACGCAGAGAAATGAACTTCAACAGAAACAAGTCCAGACCCTCATTGTCCTCTCACCGTGACTCTACTTTTCAAACGTATTTACCCCTGTCCCCCACCTGGACCAACCTGGACCCACCTGGACCCACCTGGACCCACCTGGACCCACCTGGACCCACCTGGACCCACCTGGACCCATCTGGACCCACCTGGACCCACCTGGACCCTCCTGGACCCTCCTGGACCCACCTGGACCCACCTGGACCCTCCTGGACCCATCTGAACCCACCTGGAGGGCTCCCACAGACACTGAGGGAGGGCTCCCACAGACACTGAGGGAGGGCTCCCACAGACACTGAGGGAGGGCTCCCACAGACACTGAGGGAGGGGTCCCACAGACACTGAGGGAGGGGTCCCACAGACACTGAGGGAGGGGTCCCACAGACACTGAGGGAGGGCTCCCACAGACACTGAGGGAGGGGTCCCACAGACACTGAGGGAGGGCTCCCACAGACACTGAGGGAGGGCTCCCACAGACACTGAGGGAGGGGTCCCACAGACACTGAGGGAGGGCTCCCACAGACACTGAGGGAGGGGCTCCCACAGACACTGAGGGAGGGGTCCCACAGACACTGAGGGAGGGTCCGCTCCCACAGACACTGAGGGAGGGTCCGCTCCCACAGACACTGAGGGAGGGTCCGCTCCCACAGACACTGAGGGAGGGTCCGCTCCCACAGACACTGAGGGAGGGGTCCCACAGACACTGAGGGAGGGTCCGCTCCCACAGACACTGAGGGAGGGGTCCCACAGACACTGAGGGAGGGCTCCCACAGACACTGAGGGAGGGGTCCCACAGACACTGAGGGAGGGGTCCCACAGACACTGAGGGAGGGCTCCCACAGACACTGAGGGAGGGCTCCCACAGACACTGAGGGAGGGGTCCCACAGACACTGAGGGAGGGCTCCCACAGACACTGAGGGAGGGCTCCCACAGACACTGAGGGAGGGCTCCCACAGACACTGAGGGAGGGGTCCCACAGACACTGAGGGAGGGGTCCCACAGACACAGAGGGTCTGTAGATCCATGCCCATGTCGCTGTCATGAGGATGAATGAATGTAACGCTGTCGGACTTTGATTGACAGACTTCGTGCTGGTGTGGGAGGAGTCTTTGGACCTGCAGAGGGAGGAGCCTAACGCCGCACACAGGAAGTGGAGAAAGTCCTTCCTGAGCCGGCTGCGGCACACCGGGCTGTTGATGGAGAAGGTTTGTCATGTCTGGAGTGTTGTGTGTCATGTCTGGAGTGTTGTGTGTCATGTCTGGAGTGTTGTGTAGATCCAGAAGCTGTGAGTGTCGTTGTGTTTGCGCAGAGAGAAGTGGAGCAGCTGAAGTCGCGGCTGTGCTTCCTGCTCCTCAGCGCCCCCTGGAGTCTGCTCTGTTACTACGCAGAAGAGATCGGCCTCAGGGCGCCTCTGCAGGTGTGTGTCTGTGTGTGTGTCTGTGTGTGTCTGTCTCTGTGTGTGTGTGAGAGTGTGTGTGTGTCTGTCTGTGCGTCCTGTGTGTGTGTGTGTCTGTCTCTGTGTGTGTGTCTGTGTGTGTGTGTTTGTGTGTGTGTCTGTCTCTGTGTGTGTGTGAGAGTGTGTGTGTGAGTGTCTGTGTGTGTGTCTGTGTGTGTGTGAGAGTGTGTGTGTGTGTGTGTCTGTCTGTGCGTCCTGTGTGTGTGTGTGTGTGTGTGTGTCTGTGTGTGTGTGTGTTTGTGTGTGTGTCTGTCTCTGTGTGTGTGTGTGAGAGTGTGTGTGTGTGTGTGTTTGTGTGTGTGTGTCTGTGTCTGTGAGTGTGTGTGTTTGTGTGTGTGTGCGCCCTGTGTGTCTCGGTGTGTGTCTGTGTGTGTGTGTGTGTGTCTGTGTGTGTGAGTGTGTGCGTATGAAAGTTTAATCAAAGTGAATAAATAGAAAATTAACATCATTTTCTTTCTCATTATTTTGAACTAATTTGTGATATTGGAATATATCCCGAGGCACAACAAACAACAGAATTATTTTTATTTCCACGTAAGTAACAGGAAGTCACAGGCTCAGTGCAACAGTCAAAAAAAATAAAATAAAATAAGACATTTAAAAAAAAAAAAAAACAGGATCACTTCTTAGGAATATAATTTAGAATAGAATTATTAGAATCATTATATACAATAGACAAGTGCCGCGGCCCACTGGTTGAAAAACACTGGTCTAAACAGTTCAGTCGTTCTGACACAGGACTGTTTGACTTCAGAAAGAGCTGGTGTTTTATGTGAGCTCGGGTGAAGGACAGATTCTCGTCTCGTTTGGACTAAAGTCGTGATTGGGATTCTCTGTGATTCAGTGGAAGTCATCTACTTTGTCCTACATGTTTTCAAACTGTTTGTATCCTGTTTTTGTCTTCTGGTCTGCATCTGTTTGGGGAACAGTGTGGGGTAGGGTTAGCGTGTTAGCGTGTTAGCATGTTAGCATGTTTCATCCATGATATTTCCTTCTCCCCTTCACAGATGGTTCATGCAGAGAACTTGAACTGGTCTGAGCGAGTCCTGCAGAGGTTCTCAATCCCGAACCTGCTGCATAACGCGGTTCCTCTGGCGCCCCCTGACTTCTACACCTGTGCGTTCAGGGCCAACAAACTGGACCGGTGTGTAGCCCTGACCCTGACTCGCTCCTGGATCTCTGCTCTGACTCATGTCTTTGGTTCAGGTTCCTGGGCAGTGACGACAAAGACAACTTCTTTAAGCCCACACAGCGCCACCAAGTGGTAAGTGTTCTTCTAAATTTGCCTTTTGGCTACTTTTTATATTAATGTCTGGTCATGAATATTCATTAACTGTCCCAGTAAATAATTATCAAGATATTTCCTTCACCATTCACCAAAGGCTGAGAGTGTTCACAGATGTTTTATATGAACACATCAAAAGGGAGAGATTTCTTCACAGAGAGTCCGTGTTTGGTTTTTGGCTTTTTAAAACTAACCTCTGTAACTGTTTCTGTCTGACCCTGACTTTGCTCTGAACAGACTCTTCTGTCGAGGATCATTTGTCCTGGTTCTGACCCAGGACTATTATTGGGTCAATTAAATTAAATGTATTAGCAGTGATTGAACTGTTGTGATTATTGTCTGAAATACAGTAAGACTGTAGACCCAGGACTGAGACTGTAGACCCAGGACTGAGGCTGTAGACCCAGGACTGAGGCTGTAGACCCAGGACTGAGACTGTAGACCCAGGACTGAGGCTGTAGACCCAGGACTGAGACTGTAGACCCAGGACTGAGGCTGTAGACCCAGGACTGAGGCTGTAGACCCAGGACTGAGACTGTAGACCCAGGACTGAGGCTGTAGACCCAGGACTGAGGCTGTAGACCCAGGACTGAGACTGTAGACCCAGGACTGAGGCTGTAGACCTAGGACTGAGACTGTAGACCCAGGACTGAGGCTGCAGACCCAGGACTGAGGCTGTAGACCCAGGACTGAGGCTGCAGACCCAGGACTGAGGCTGTAGACCCAGGACTGAGGCTGTAGACCCAGGACTGAGGCTGTAGACCCAGGACTGAGACTGTAGACCCAGGACTGAGGCTGTAGACCTCTCTGTGCAGTTGTTCGAGATCCTGTCGAGGACCCCCTATGGCTCAGTGAGGTGGGGGCAGGTGGGCATCAGTCGCCTCCTCAATGACGGCGTCTTCAGCGCCGCTTTCCCACTGCACCAGGTCAGACACACACACACACACACACACACAGACCCACACACACACAGACACACACACACACATACACGTTTTTGTTACCTGGTGGGTCCCTTTGACAGGGCCGTTCAGAATGGGACCCATAGACATAATCTTTTTTTACTGGGACTACTTTAAATAATACAAAACAGTCAATAGAAAACAAACAACTCTTTTAAAGGAATTTTATTTTTGATTTTTTTTTTCGAATTGCAGTGATTCTATTTTTGACATAGAATTTAATGCCACTCCATGTCCGATGTCTAAGGTCATCTGGTGAGGCATTAATGCAGGCCAGGCCAGGCCAGGCCAGGCAGTGAGACTTCCCAGGGACCTTTCCAGTCTGTATGAAAGGTGTCATGGTCTTCTCCACAGCCTTCACCTCAGATGCAGACCATGGCTTTCTTACACGTTCTAGGGAGAGAAATAAAAATATATTAGCAATATACACTCCCAGGGTTAGGACCAAGCAGCCTGGCTGTAATCCCCCACCTGGTACACTTACCAGAAGGGGCACTGCCACTACCATGGGGTGCATCTGGATGAATGGTTGAAGGTTCTCCGCTTGAAGTTTCTTTTAGCCCGTCCGTTTGTGAGAGGATCTCTACTGCTCTCCCTGTCGCACAGAAAATAAAAATACAAGTGGCCTTTAGGGGAAAAAAATCATACATATTTTAATAATATCAAGAATTACCTTCAGGCTCAATTTGTATCTGGTCGAGGCTCTTTCCTTCGAATTCCGTCACTCTTCCCTGCTCCATGGCCATCAACACTTTGCTGATTTTGGCCAGCTCCAGTGTCCCCTCTGGTAGTCTGTAATATTGCCTGTGGATGCGAATGTCATGGCCGAGGAAGTTGGCAAGTATGTCCATCTCATTCTCTTTCATATTGAGAACTGTAGACATAGTAGCTATGTGCTTTCTAAGTTTGGTTGAGGATAGCATCTCTGGATGCACCGCACCACATTCTTTGGCTACCTGGCGTAGGGAGTCTGATCCCCTGATGTGGGTGTCTGCGCCCGGGCGGGAAAAGAAGTATGGGTTATGGTCAGAGATGGAACAGGCCCTTCTGTTCTCCACCAGCACCTCCATCCAAGCAATCATTTCAGGAGTCAAAAGAACCGGCACTTTCCGACTTCTTTTCCCTTTAATTTCAATGCGTTGAAAATGCTGACACAGCTTTTTCTCAAGTTGGGACAGTCCCAGAGCAATGTCAGAATGGATCCCAGTCTTACTTCTTAAGGTAAAGGCTGTCAGTGGCATCTTTGAAACCTCACCTTCCCTTCTTCGATTGAAAATGATGACCTCACAAAGAGTCAAAACTGCCAGTTTAGACCAATGCTTAGACGTTGGCTCACTTATTAGGGTTTGCACATATTCAGGTCGACATACCTCAATATGTGCATGCATGGCTCTAACGTCCTCAGTCAGAGGGAGCAGGTCCGGAGTGTTCCACTTGGCTTGCCGGAGGGTCTGTAGGGCAGCAGAAGAAACACAGACGTCCCACCTCTTCTCAAAAAGCAGCCGGCTTCGTTGGAGGTTTTTAATAAATAGTTCATCAACACAATGCTCCATTTTTGAGTCACATTCAAGAATATCTGCTAGCTTTCTGAGGCTATGGCCGAGTTTGAGGGCCAAGGATGGAGTCTTGTATTGATTTGTTTCCTCATCATATCCAGCCACAGACCTGACTGCATCAATCACATGGTTAAAGTTGGAAGGAATAAAGAAATCCTTAATTGTTTTCAGTTTCCCTGCGGTTTTTGCTTCGTTAATTAACCTACCGACTTCTCTCATTTTCTGCCTAATGTAATCATGCTTAGTCTTATCATGCCCGTGTTTTAAGTACAGGTGCTCTCCGAGTCTCAGAATCCCCTTTTCTGCTTTGACAACACCCGTGACCTCATCCTGATGCATTGCCCAAATTAAAGACCACAGCTTTTTGCTGATGCCCTCCGGTACAGGCTGGGCTAGGGAGCAGAGGGACTGGACCCTACTTCTACCTGGTTTAGCCTGGTTTAGCCTGGTTTAGCCTGGGCATCTTTCTGTGAAAGCCGGCACCTGGCCACATGCCTCCACAGCGACTTTCGCTTAAAGTAGTACTAGAATTTAATATGCTGCTATCCAGAATATATAACTACAATATGTGTTTATAATATTTCGGGTGTTCATTTTGACACGTTCAGATGAATTATGTTAAAAAAACGGCTTTCAAGTGGCACCTTTATAAAATCGCTAGGGGGCGCCAAAATGTCGGCGAAGACGTAGGAGAATGACCTCTCACAGCAGCAGCAGCAGTCTGGGCTGAATCTGTAGGAGGTTTCACTGTCATCTGAACAAGGTATAAACATATTTTCATCCGTTTTGTACATAATAGTGTGTAACTCTTTTAACCTTTTAGCCTTATTTGTGAGATTCAAGCTAATTAGTGTTGGGCAAGTTAGCTAACTCTACTTGATATCATAAAACATGCTAACAAGGCTAATATTCGTTTTTACATTATGCCATCCATAAATCCATAAATGCTAATCAAAATAACTTTAATTAAATAAATATTTTACTTTTATGAACAAAAAGCTGCAGAAGTTGAAAACAGACTACATGTGATGCAATCATTGATAAAAATGCTAATTAAACCGTTAATAGGTGTTAGCATTTATGGATATTACAATGTACATTGTGGTAAATAAATCTAAGGCAAAGTGAGACTGACATAATGTAAAAACGAATATTAGCCTTGTTAGCATGTTTTATGATATCAAGTAGAGTTAGCTAACTTGCCCAACTTCAGGGGTCCTTTCCATATTTTTACAGAGACTGCATAAGGACCGTTAGAAAAGCATTACCCATTGATTATTAAGCTTGGACCAGTGGGGTCCGGTGTTCGGGCCCCACCACGTAAAACCAGTCCCCATGACGTGAACCCACCAGGAGTTGAAAACAAGTGCACACACACACACACACACAGACACACAGACACACACACACACACACACACACACACACAGTGCAGTGAGTGTCATGTGTTTGTCCAGGGCAGTGCAGAGCCCCCCCCACACGGCCGCCCTGCCCCTCCCAGCCTGAGGAGGGTGCTGTTCTCTCATTGGGCGGCCTGGAGCTGCTGGAGGAGGTACCAGCCTCTGGACCACATCCGAGAGTACTTTGGGGAGAAGATCGCTCTGTACTTCGCTTGGCTCGGTGAGAAACGCCTCCGAAAGCTCTCCGCAGCATGTGGATTCACTAAACATAATGTGGCTGAGTGGTTAGCAAGAAGGTCCTGGGTTCGAATCCTGGTCGGGTCAGGGCCTTTCTGAGTGGAGTTTGCATGTTGCAGGTTTCCTCCGGGTACTCCGGTTTCCCCTACCACTAAAAACATGCACAATAGGTCTGAATGTAAATGAGAGAGTGAATGATGGTGTTGGAGCTGATGGTCCAGTGTGTTCTGGACTCGCTTCTGTCATCACCGTGTGTGGAAGGATTGGAACAATATCTGACTCTGAACATTGGAAAGTGCTTTGGGTCTGTACCTTTGGGTCTGTACCTTTGGGTCTGTACCTTGGTCTGTAACATGTGCTATATAAATAAACATTACTTACTACCTACAGTAACACAGTCGTACAGTCGGCAGAAGTCTGAAAGTCTCATTCAACATCCATGTCCCTGTATCCCTGTACCTATGTCCCTGTCCCTGTGCTCAGGTTTCTACTCTGGTTGTCCCTGTGCTCAGGTTTCTACACTGGTTGTCCCTGTGCTCAGGCTTCTACTCTGGTTGTCCCTGTGCTCAGGCTTCTACACTGGTTGTCCCTGTGCTCAGGTTTCTACTCTGGTTGTCCCTGTGCTCAGGTTTCTACACTGGTTGTCCCTGTGCTCAGGTTTCTACTCTGGTTGTCCCTGTGCTCAGGTTTCTACACTGGTTGTCCCTGTGCTCAGGTTTCTACACTGGTTGTCCCTGTGCTCAGGCTTCTACACTGGTTGTCCCTGTGCTCAGGTTTCTACTCTGGTTGTCCCTGTGCTCAGGTTTCTACTCTGGTTGTCCCTGTGCTCAGGTTTCTACTCTGGTTGTCCCTGTGCTCAGGCTTCTACACTGGTTGTCCCTGTGCTCAGGTTTCTACACTGGTTGTCCCTGTGCTCAGGTTTCTACACTGGTTGTCCCTGTGCTCAGGTTTCTACACTGGTTGGCTGCTCCCGGCTGCGGTCATGGGGCTGGTGGTTTTCCTGATGGGCTTCTGGCTCGTGCAGACGGATGTTCCAGCGTAAGTGTGTGTGTCTGTGTGTGTGTCTGTGTGTGTGTGTTTGTGTGTGTCTGTTAGTGTGTGTTTATATTTGTGTGTGTCTGTGTGTGTGTGTGTGTGTGTTTGTGTGTGTCTGTTAGTGTGTGTTTATATTTGTGTGTGTGTGTAGGAGAGAGGTGTGTGACAGCGGCGGCTCCATCGTCATGTGTCCTCTGTGTAAAGACTGTCCGTTCTGGAACTACTCGAGTATCTGCCTCACCTACAAGGTACTCCCTGTGTTCACGCCCATGTCGCACCTTTTACACTTAGCGACTACCATCAATCACTCACACAACTGGTGCAGGTGAATAGTCCGCAGGTACCATGTGGGTTGGGCCGATATATCCTCAATACAACTATTACTTTAACCCAGAACCATGTGTGAATGTCTGACCAACGCACGGGTTAGTCCAGTGGTCCCCAACCTTTCTGAGAACTAATGAACATCTCATGGCACGCCAGCGGGCCACGGACCACTGGTTGAAAAACACTGGGTTAATCTAAAGAATATCAGCCAAACCAAGCACATGTCTAAGTTCAGAGCTCACATCCTTCATAATATAAACAAAATGTATTACAGTAAAGACACATCATTTTGTTTTTGCGTTGTTATTGTCTAGTGTGTATTGTGTTACCTGTTGTGCGTCTGAAGGCAGGTCTTCTGTTCGACAACGGCGGCACAGTCTTCCTGTCGGTGTTCATGTCCCTGTGGGCCGTCACCTTCCTGGAATACTGGAAGAGGACCTGCTCCGCCCTGTCCCACCGCTGGGACTGCTCCCAGTCTGAGCACATCGAGGTAAAGTCACGGATACACACTTTAAATAGTTTCATAACGACTGGATCTCAACAGGACTTTGGGGTTTAGGACTGAAGACCTCTTTCACTCTCAGATTCTTAAAGCAGCAGTCTGTGGCCAAAAGTGGTACTGCAGCCTCTCCCACTCTCCCTGACTCAAGTTGCCAGATACAGTGCCTCGCGAAAGTATTCGGCCCCCTTGAACCTTTCAACATTTCGCCACATTTCAGGCTTCAAACATAAAGATATAAAAATTTAATTTGTTGTCATGAATCAACAACAAGTGGGACACAATCGTGAAGTGGAACGAAATTTATTGGATAATTTAAACTTTTTTAACAAATAAAAAACTGAAAAGTGGGGCGTGCAATATTATTGGGCCCCTTTACTTTCAGTGCAGCAAACTCAGTCCAGAAGTTCAGTGAGGATCTTTGAATGATCCAATGTTGTCCTAAATGACTGATGATGATAAATAGAATGCACCTGTGTGTAATCAAGTCTCCGTATAAATGCACCTGCTCTTTGATAGTCTCAGGGTTCTGTTTAAAGCACAGAGAGAACCATGAAGACAAAGGAACACACCAGGCAGGCCCGAGATACTGTTGTGGAGAAGTTTAAAGCCGGATTTGGATACAAAAAGATTTCCCAAGCTTTAAACATCTCAAGGAGCACTGTGCAAGCAATTATATTGAAATGGAAGGAGTATCAGACCACTGCAAATCTACCAAGACCCGGCCGTCCCTCCAAACTTTCATCTCAAACAAGGAGAAGACTGATCAGAGATGCAGACAAGAGGCCCATGATCACTCTGGATGAACTGCAGATAACTACAGCTGAGGTGGGAGAGTCTGTCCATAGGACAACAATCAGTCGTGCACTGCACAAATCTGGCCTTTATGGAAGAGTGGCAAGAAGAAAGCCATTTCTCCAAGATATCCATAAAAGTCTCGTTTAAAGTTTGCCACAAGCCACCTGGGAGACACACCAAACATGTGGAAGAAGGTGCTCTGGTCAGATGAAACCAAAATCAAACTTTTTGGCCACAATGCAAAAGGATATGTTTGGCGTAAAAGCAACACAGCTCATCACCCTGAACACACCATCCCCACTGTCAAACACGGTGGTGGCAGCATCATGCTTTGGGCCTGCTTTTCTTCAGCAGGGACAGGGAAGATGGCTAAAATTGAGGGGAAGATGGATGGAGCCAAATACAGGACCATTCTGGAAGAAAACCTGTTGGAGTCTGCAAAAGACCTGAGACTGGGACGGAGATTTATCTTCCAACAGGACAATGATCCAAAACATAAAGCCAAATCTACAATGGAATGGTTCACAAATAGACGTATCCAGGTGTTAGAATGGCCAAGTCAAAGTCCAGACCTGAATCCAATCGAGAATCTGTGGAAAGAGCTGAAGACTGCTGTTCACGAACGCTCTCCATCCAACCTCACTGAGCTCGAGCTGTTTTGCAAGGAAGAATGGGAAAGAATTCCAGTCTCTCGATGTGCAAAACTGATAGAAACATACCCCAAGCCACTTGCAGCTGTAATTGCAGCAAAAGGTGGCGCTACAAAGTATTAGCGCAAGGGGCCGAATAATATTGCACACCCCACTTTTCAGTTTTTTATTTGTTAAAAAAGTTTAAATTATCCAATACATTTCGTTCCACTTCACGATTGTGTCCCACTTGTTGTTGATTCTTGACAAAATAAATTATTTTTATATCTTTATGTTTGAAGCTTGAAATGTGGCGAAATGTTGAAAGGTTCAAAGGGGGCGAATACTTTCGCAAGGCACTGTATGCAGACAAATCCAGCTGGGACCATAACAGCTGAATAGACAAGAGTTTTGTCAACAACAAATCTATAACCAACACCTTTTTCACAAAGATAGAAATCCTGGTTTTATTCCTTGTTTTGTCGTTAATGATTCTATACAATATACAAGCATTTATTTGCCATTTGCAGTAAAACCACATTAGAAAACTGTGAGCACCAGACAGAGAAGACGGCACAACCAGAGCTCTTGATTTCAGGGACCAATAAAGTTTCTATCTCTCTAACTAAATACTTTGATCTAACCCTGCAGAGAACAGCATCACCACACTCTGCCTTTGCTCCTGTGTCTCTGAACACATGTTGTGTGATATAGAGTAGATTTGTGGTCTTCCTCTCTTCAACAGGAGCGGCCCCGTCCAGAGTTCACCGTCATGGCCCCGATGACCACCAGGAACCCAGTGACCGGGGCCGAGGAGCCGTACTTCCCGAGATCCACTCGTCTGAACCGGACCCTGACCAGCTTCTCAATCCTCATCATCATGGTACTGACTCTGCTCTCTCTCTGGTCTCTCTCTCTGGTCTCTCTCTCTGGTCTCTCTCTCTGGTCTCTCTCTGCTCTCTCTCTGCTCTTTCTCTGCTCTCTCTCACAGTCTCTCTCTGATCTCTCTCTAGTCTCTCTCTCTGGTCGCTCTCTGGTCTCTCTCTGGTCTCTCTCTGGTCTGTCTCTGGTCTCTTTCTCTGGTCTCTCTCTGGTCTCTCTCTCTGGTCTCTCTCTGGTCTCTCTCTGGTCTCTCTCTGGTCTCTTTCTCTGGTCTCTCTCTCTGGTCTTTCTCTGCTCTCTCTCTGGTCTCTCTCTGGTCTCTCTCTGGTCTCTCTCTAGTCTCTCTCTCTGGACTCTCTCTAGTCCCTCTCTGGTCCCTCTGATCTCTCTCTAGTCTCTCTCTGGCCCCTCTCTGGTCTGGTCTCTCTCTGGTCTCTCTCTGATCTCTCTCTAGTCTCTCTCTCTGGTCTCTCTCTGGTCTCTTTCTGGTCTGTCTCTGGTCTGTCTCTGGTCTCTCTCTGGTCTCTCTCTGGTCTCTCTCTGGTCTCTCTCTGGTCTCTCTCTGGTCTCTCTCTGGTCTCTTTCTCTGGTCTCTCTCTCTGGTCTCTCTCTCTGGTCTCTCTCTGGTCTCTTTCTCTGGTCTCTTTCTCTGGTCTCTCTCTCTGGTCTCTCTCTGGTCTCTCTCTGGTCTCTCTCTGGTCTCTCTCTGGTCTCTTTCTCTGGTCTCTCTCTCTGGTCTCTTTAGCCCCACAGCCCTTTGAGGACCAGAGGCTTCATGGTTAAAGTGTGTGTGTGTGTGTGTGTGTGTGTGTGTGTGTGTGTGTGTGTGTGTGTGTGTGTGTGTGTGTGTGTGTGTGTGTGTGTGTGTGTGTGTGTGTGTGTGTGTGTGTGTGTGTGTGTGTGTGTGTGTGTGTGTGTGTGTGTGTGTGTGTGCAGATAGCAGTGGTGCTGATCTTCCTCATTGCCATCATCTTGTACCGCTCCATCATCACCATGGTCATCTACAAGTCCACCACGGGTCTCATCTCGGACTCTGTGAGTGTCCACCTGCTCCACCTCTGCTCCACACCTGCTCCACACCTGCTCCACACCTGCTCCACACCTGCTCCACACCTGCTCCACACCTGCTCCACCTGCTCTCCACCTGCTCCACACCTTCTCCACCTGCTCCACACCTGCTCCACACCTGCTCCACACCTGCTCCACACCTGCTCCACACCTGCTCCACACCTGCTCCACCTGCTCTCCACCTGCTCCACACCTTCTCCACCTGCTCCACACCTGCTCCACACCTGCTCCACACCTGCTCCACCTGCTCTCCACCTGCTCCACACCTTCTCCACCTGCTCCACACCTGCTCCACCTCTGCTCCACACCTGCTCCACATGTGCCTGCTCCACCTGCTCCACCTCTGCTCCACACCTGCTCCACCTGCTCCACATGTGCCTGCTCCACCTCTGCTCCACACCTGCTCCACACCTGCTCCACCTGCTCCACATGTGCCTGCTCCACCTCTGCTCCACCTCTGCTCCACCTCTGCTCCACCTGCTCCTCACCTGCTCCACACCTGCTCCACCTGCTCCACACCTGCTCCACCTGCTCCACACCTGCTCCACCTGCTCCTCACCTGCTCCACACCTGCTCCACCTCTGCTCCACACCTGCTCCACACCTGCTCCACACCTGCTCCACCTCTGCTCCACCTCTGCTCCACACCTGCTCCACCTGCTCCACATGTGCCTGCTCTACCTCTGCTCCACACCTGCTCCACCTCTGCTCCACCTGCTCCACCTCTGCTCCACACCTGCTCCACCTGCTCCACATGTGCCTGCTCCACCTCTGCTCCACCTCTGCTCCACCTCTGCTCCACACCTGCTCCACCTGCTCCACCTCTGCTCCACACCTGCTCCACCTGCTCCACATGTGCCTGCTCCACCTCTGCTCCACACCTGCTCAACCTGCTCCACATGTGCCTGCTCCACCTGCTCCACATGTTCCTGCTCCACCTGCTCCACACCTGCTCCACACCTGCTCCACCTGCTCCACATGTTCCTGCTCCACCTCTGCTCCACACCTGCTCCACCTGCTCCACACCTGCTCCACCTGCTCCACACCTGCTCCACACCTGCTCCACCTGCTCCACCTCTGCTCCACACCTGCTCCACCTGCTCCACACCTGCTCCACCTGCTCCACCTCTGCTCCACACCTGCTCCACACCTGCTCCACCTGCTCCACATGTTCCTGCTCCACCTGCTCCACCTCTGCTCCACACCTGCTCCACACCTGCTCCACCTGCTCCACATGTGCCTGCTCCACCTGCTCCACACCTGCTCCACCTCTGCTCCACACCTGCTCCACCTCTGCTCCACACCTGCTCCACACCTGCTCCACACCTGCTCCACCTGCTCCACCTCTGCTTCACACCTGCTCAACCTGCTCCACCTCTGCTTCACACCTGCTCAACCTGCTCCACATCTACTCTGAGCCAATCTCTGTTGAAGGAAGAGCAAGATCCAAAATGTTTAAATACAAAGTGTTCACCTTGTCACAGTAAATTCAGCGCAGAATCTAATTTACGTTAGATCCTGCGTCTTAATCAGGACTCTCCTCTTTCCCCGCTCAGAGTCCCAAACTCCACACAGACATGTAGCTTTGAAAACACACACTAAGGTCCCATTTCAACTGCTTCTCTCTCTCTGGTCTCTCTCTGGTCTCTCACTGATCTCTCTGGTCTCTCTCTGGTCTCTCTCTGGTCTCTCTCTGGTCTCTCTCTCTGGTCTCTCTCTGATCTCTCTGGTCTCTCTCTCTGGTCTCTCTCTGGTCTCTCTCTGATCTCTCTGGTCTCTCTGGTCTCTCTCTGGTCTCTCTCTCTGGTCTCTCTCTGGTCTCTCTCTCTGGTCTCTCTCTGGTCTCTCTCTGGTCTCTCTCTCTGGTCTCTCTGGTCTCTCTCTGGTCTCTCTCTGATCTCTCTGGTCTCTCTGGTCTCTCTCTGGTCTCTCTCTCTGGTCTATCTCTGGTCTCTCTCTGGTCTCTCTCTCTCTGGTCTCTCTGGTCTTTCTCTCTGGTCTCTCTCTCTGGTCTCGCTCTGGTCTCTCTCTGGTCTCGCTCTCTCTGGTCTCTCTCTGGTCTCTCTCTGGTCTCTCTCTGGTCTCTCTCTGGTCTCCTCTCTGGTCTCTCTCTGGTCTCTCTCTCGGTCTCTCTCTGGTCTCTCTCTGGTCTCTCTCTGGTCTCTCTCTGGTCTCTCTCTCTGGTCTCTCTCTCTGGTCTCTCTCTCTGGTCTCTCTCTGGTCTCTCTCTGGTCTCTCTCTGGTCTCTCTGGTCTCTCTGGTCTCTCTCCTGGTCTCTCTCTGGTCTCTCTCTGGTCTCTCTCTGGTCTCTCTCTGGTCTCTCTCTCTGGTCTCTCTCTCTGGTCTCTCTCTGGTCTCTCTGGTCCCTGGTCTCTCTCTGGTCTCTCTCTCTGGTCTCTCTCTGGTCTCTCTCTCTGGTCTCTCTCTCTCTCTGGTCTCTCTCTGGTCTCTCTCTCTGCTCTCTCTCTGGTCTCTCTCTGGTCTCTCTCTCTGGTCTCTCTTTGGTCTCTCTCTCTGGTCTCTCTCTGGTCTCTCTCTGGTCTCTCTCTGGTCTCTCTCTCTGGTCTCTCTCTGGTCTCTCTCTGGTCTCTCTCTCTGGTCTCTCTCTCTGGTCTCTTTGGTCTCTCTCTGGTCTCTCTCTGGTCTCTCTCTCTGGTCTCTCTCTGTTCGTGGTTTTGGCCTCTTCACCTCTTCTAAGGTGATGAGAAACAACAGCAGGGAGGTTTTTGAGTCGGGACCCGCCCACACTGATCTGACCCTGGGCTGACATGAACCTACAGCAGGGGGGTCAAACCGGGTCCAGATGGATCCGGTCCGGTTTGACATCCCTGATCTCCAGTGGACTCCAAAATTATTATTTTTTTTAAATGGTCGGTGTTGTTCTTTGTTCAAACTGTTGTGTTTCAGGCGAAGAGGATCGGCAGCTTCTCTGGGTCTCTGGTGAATCTGGTGTTCATCATGATCCTGTCCAAGGTCTACACCATGTTGGCTCTGGTCCTGACCCGCTGGGGTGAGTCCTGTAGTCCAGACTCCTGTGGTCCTGACCCGCTGGGGTGAGTCCTGTAGTCCAGACTCCTGTGGTCCAGACTCCTGTGGTCCTGACTCCTGTGGTCCTGACTCCTGTGGTCCTGACTCCTGTGGTCCAGACTCCTGTGGTCCAGACTCCTGTGGTCCTGACTCCTGTGGTCCAGACTCCTGTGGTCCAGACTCCTGTGGTCCGGACTCCTGTGGTCCTGACTCCTGTGGTCCAGACTCCTGTGGTCCTGACTCCTGTGGTCCAGACTCCTGTGGTCCAGACTCCTGTGGTCCAGACTCCTGTGGTCCTGACTCCTGTGGTCCAGACTCCTGTGGTCCAGACTCCTGTGGTCCGGACTCCTGTGGTCCTGACTCCTGTGGTCCAGACTCCTGTGGTCCGGACTCCTGTGGTCCGGACTCCTGTGGTCCGGACTCTGTGGTCCAGACTCCTGTGGTCCGGACTCCTGTGGTCCTGACTCCTGTGGTCCGGACTCCTGTGGTCCGGACTCCTGTGGTCCGGACTCCTGTGGTCCGGACTCCTGTGGTCCGGACTCCTGTGGTCCGGACTCCTGACTCGTGTGTGTGTGTGTGTGTGTGTCTGTGCGTCTGTCTGTGTGTGTGTGTACGTGTGTGTGTGTGTGTCTGTGTGTGTGTGTGTGTGTCTGTGTGTGTGTGTGCGTCTGTCTGTGTGTGTGTGTACGTGTGTGTGTGTGTGTCTGTGTGTGTGTGTGTGTGTGTGTGTGTGTGTGTGTGTGTGTGTGTGTGTGTGTGTGTGTGTGTGTGTGTGTGTGTGTGTGTGTGTGTGTGTGTGTGTGTGTGTGTGTGTGTGTTTGTCTGTGTGTGTGTGTGTGTGTATGTGTGTGTGTCTGTGTGTGTGTGTGTGTGTGTGTGTGTGTGTGTGTGTGTTGCAGAGATGCACCGCACACAGAGTGAGTATGAAGACATGTTCACGCTCAAAGTCTTCATCTTCCAGTTTGTGAACTTCTACTCGTCCCCGGTTTACATCGCCTTCTTCAAGGGCAGGTACCTTCTCACACAGTTCAGCGACGTTAAGTCCTGTTTTAGTCCTGGTCCAGTCCTGGTCTAGTCCTGGTCTGGTCCTGGTCTGATGCATCTGTTTTCCTCCAGGTTTGTGGGATATCCAGGAGACTACGGAAAACTCCTCGGCGTCCGCAACGAAGACGTGAGTGTGTTACAGTGTGTTGTGTTGCAGTGTGTTGTGTTGTGTTGCAGTGTGTTGTGTTGTGTTGCAGTGTGGTTCTGGAGGGTGTCTGATAGAACTGGCTCAGGAGCTCCTGGTCATCATGGTGGGAAAACAAATCATCAACAACATCCAGGAGATCGTCACACCGTGAGTCACTGTAGACCCAGGCGCAGGCCCGTCCTAAGGGCTGTGCGACCTGTGCCGTCGCACAGGGCCTCGCACCACACAGGGGCCTCGCAATCTTCCTTCCTTTTATTTTATTTTATAAATACACTAGTTCAAGGGTCCCCAAAGGGCAGACTGCACTCCAAATTTGGAATCCTAAACCCCTTTCTCTGGACCTCTTTGATTTCGTTTGATCAAAAGAACATTTTTACAAGTAAAGTCAAATTTTCACCAAAAGCGATTTGTAAACAGGCAGGCGCGCGGGCAGCTATGTACGCAGCGGGTCCTCCGAAAAAACTGTCAGATAACTTTAGCAGTGTCTGAGTCAGTGTTGCCAACTTAGCGACTTTGTCGCTAGATTTAGCGACTTTTCAGACCCCTATAGCGACTTTTTTTCAAAAAAGCGACTAGCGACAAATCTAGCGACTTTTTCTGGTGTTATTGGCGACTTATCTGGTGTTTTGGCGACTTATCTGGTGTTTTGGAGACTCGTGAAGCACGTATTGTTCTGCTGTCCTCAACGTGAGCCCCTCCCCCGTCCCAAAGCACTTACAGGCGGCCAGTCTCACAGTAGCCTTGCGCAGCAGTCCCAGCTACAGTCTATGGGCGGAGCAGAGAGAGAGAGAGGAGACTCAAAAGCACAGGAAGTTTTCAGGCTGCTGCAGACTGAACTTCAGCTCCACCACCACCACACATCCAAAGCTCCCCGGCCACTCCTACCACCGCCACCCCCCACTACCCCCCACTCCATCCGCGGCAGCTCTGTCCGTGACTCTGTTTTCTCTCAGTAGTGGGTCACATTAAATCATTTGTTATGCCAAACTATGAAAAAAAAAAAAAACTTACAAAAATAAACCTAAGTAACTCTGCCAGAGTGTGTCTTTTGGGTCACTTTGCCGGTCCCAAGCCCGGATAAAGGAGGAGGGTTGGTTGTAGAGCTAGCAATTTCACCTTACATAACAATCTTTTGATTACATTTGCTGTTATAACATTTAACAATACAGGACAAAACTGATGTGTGTAATGTGGATCTAGACAAAGCATTAAAATCATTAAATGTTGTTAATGTTGAAATTATTTTTGTACATTTGTAGTTCTAAACATATTTAGGGTGTTTTTACTCACTTTTGTCTCTCCCACGACCTTATTCCTCTCTCCTACAGCGTCCGTTACAGTTATTTGCAAATTGCAAATTATGCAAATTAGGCGATGACGTCATTTAGCGACTTCTAGCGACTTTTGGGACAGCCAATAGCTACTTTCCTTACTGAGGAGTTGGCAACACTGGTCTGAGTGAGATACAAAGAAAGTAACGGGAATGATCGCAGTGTAGGAGAGATGGATACTCGCGGAGGAGGAGCAGTGAGACAGGTGTGAGCAGAGGAGGAGGAGGAGGAGTGAGACAGGTGTGTGAGCAGAGGAGGAGGAGGAGGAGTGAGACAGGTGTGTGAGCAGAGGAGGAGGAGGAGGAGCAGTGAGACAGGTGTGAGCAGAGGAGGAGGAGGAGGAGCAGTGAGACAGGTGTGAGCAGAGGAGGAGGAGGAGGAGCAGTGAGACAGGTGTGAGCAGAGGAGCAGACCCCTTTGTGTGAGCAGAGGAGGAGGAGGAGGAGCAGCGGTGTGACAGGTGTGTGAGCGCTGCTATTGCCAATGTTTAGTCCGAATATCCACATCAAAAACATATTTTTAAAAGCATTAGCAAACACACTGTATGTCTAGCTTTAGCTAGCTGGAGTGTTTTTGTTGTGGTCAGAGTGTGTGGAGGAGGAGGTGAAGAGTATTTTGTTGTTGTCAGTGTGGAGGAGGAGGAGTGTGAGTGTGTGGAGGCATGGCAAAAACGTTATTTGATGAGAAAAAAATAATATTGACTCCGCCTCATAGCCATTTTGGCGCATTTTGCCAAAATCTAACTATTAGAAGAAAAAGACTCCTTTTGGTTCAATCTTTTGAGTTGCTCTACCATTTTGCCACAGGACGAAAGAGACATGTCAGCTAAAAAGACCGCGACCAATATTGCACGTAGAGTGTGTGTGCGTGTGTACGTGCGCGCGCCAAACGCTGCATAGGAGCGAAGACACTCGGTTACACGCGTGCTGATCTCGTCAAGCACCGCGCGAGGTGGTGCTGAATTCATGTCAAAGATTATAACAGGAAAAACTTTCCTCAGATCTGGGAAAAAAGTGTCAGGGCAGGGCCTCGCGTTTCGGGTTCGCACAGGGCCTCGCACCCCCCTTGGGACGGGCCTGCCCAGGACTGAGGCTGTAGACCCAGGACTGAGGCTGTAGACCCAGGACTGAGTCAATAACCAACGCTCACTATTTGGCAGGAAGCTGAAGACCTGGTGGCGGAATAAGAGTTTGAGAAAGAGCCAGATGGAGGAGAAGAAAGAGGAGGCGTCGCCATGGGAACGGGACTATCAGCTGCTGGTCTCTGAGGGGCTGTTCGACGAGTACCTGGAGATGGGTCAGTTCTCTCACTCTGATGACTCACTCAGACTTCTGTCTCTCTGACTCGTTCACACCAGTGGAATTTACCCCAAACATGTTTAGTTTCAGATGTGTTTAACTTTACTCACTTTCACTCAGTGCTAAAACTGGGAAATACAACAAAAACAGTTTCCTGAAATGATAAAAGGTGACAGACAACAGTGTGTTGCTATGGAAACTAGCACTCGCTCTTCTGTAGTGGAAAATCAATCAGACAAAGGACCAGTCAGGACCAGTCAGGACCAGTCAAGACCAGTCAGGACCAGCCAGGACCAGTCAGGACCAGTCAGGACCAGTCAGGACCAGTCAGGACCAGTCAGGACCAGCCAGGACCAGTCAGGACCAGTCAGGACCAGTCAGCACCAGCAATCTACAGTATGCTGGTTACTGAGTGAAACTTGGCTCCATTTGAACGTTACATCCAAATGACTGCTTTGGGAGACAAAGGTAGAACTCTTCATGTTTATATACAGTGCCTTGCGAAAGTATTCGGCCCCCTTGAACCTTTCAACATTTCGCCACATTTCAGGCTTCAAACATAAAGATATAAAAATTTAATTTGTTGTCATGAATCAACAACAAGTGGGACACAATCGTGAAGTGGAACGAAATTTATTGGATAATTTAAACTTTTTTAACAAATAAAAAACTGAAAAGTGGGGCGTGCAATATTATTGGGCCCCTTTACTTTCAGTGCAGCAAACTCAGTCCAGAAGTTCAGTGAGGATCTTTGAATGATCCAATGTTGTCCTAAATGACTGATGATGATAAATAGAATGCACCTGTGTGTAATCAAGTCTCCGTATAAATGCACCTGCTCTTTGATAGTCTCAGGGTTCTGTTTAAAGCACAGAGAGAACCATGAAGACAAAGGAACACACCAGGCAGGTCCGAGATACTGTTGTGGAGAAGTTTAAAGCCGGATTTGGATACAAAAAGATTTCCCAAGCTTTAAACATCTCAAGGAGCACTGTGCAAGCAATTATATTGAAATGGAAGGAGTATCAGACCACTGCAAATTAGTTACATACAGATGTGTAGCTACACATACAGTTCATCCTGGAGAGACCCACACAGGGGAATGCAATTAGAAGTATATTTGATTGAGCATGTTTGGCGCCCTAGGCCCCGGAGCGATGATGTTGAGCGCGGCGCTTGCTCGCGCTCATAATCCCCCCCAGGGCTTAGGCACTGGTGGCGGCAGAGGCAGCAGGCAAGCACGCTCGAAATGGGAGAAGGAGGAGGTGGGGCGGCGGAGGATGCAAAGCTTGAGAAGGCCAGGAATTGGGCGTCTCCGGCTTTTAACTCGCTGCCCTGGCGGTTATTGGTTGACTGGAAGTGGGTGTTGCTGTGCGATGAGCCGAGGATGAGAGCAGTCCTGGAGGAGCTGGGCAGCAGCCGGGTCTACCAGGGTCTACCAGGGTCTACCAGGGTCTACCAGGGTCTACCAGGGTGAACATGCGCAAAGCTTCATATGTGTAGCTACACATCTGTATGTACACACACATCTGTATGTGTAGCTACATACAGATGTGTGTGTACATACAGATGTGTGTCTCTCGTGTCTCCTGCAGTGCTACAGTTTGGCTTCATCACCGTCTTCGTGGCGGCCTGTCCTCTGGCGCCGCTCTTCGCTCTGGTGAATAACTGGGTGGAGATCCGTCTGGACGCTCATAAGTTTGTGTGCGAGTACAGGCGCCCGGTGTCCGAGCGGGCGTCGGACATCGGGATCTGGCTCCACATCATGCAGCTCATCAGCTTCACTGCGGTGCTCGCCAACGTGAGGCTCACATCTGTACTACTGTGGGCGTGGCTCTGTGTGGGCGTGGCTCTGTGGGCGTGGCTGTGTGGGTGTGTGGGCGTGACTCTGTGTGGGTGTGGCTATGTGGGCGTGGCTCTGTGGGTGTGGCTCTGTGGGCGTGGCTCTGTGGGCGTGGCTGTGGGTGTGTGGGCGTGGCTATGTGGGTGTGGCTCTGTGGGCGTGGCTCTGTGGGCGTGGCTGTGGGTGTGTGGGCGTGGCTCTGTGGGTGTGGCTCTGTGGGCGTGGCTCTGTGGGCGTGGCTGTGGGTGTGTGGGCGTGGCTATGTGTGTGTGGCTATGTGGGTGTGGCTCTGTGTGTGTGGCTCTGTGTGGGTGTGGCTATGTGGGCGTGGCTATGTGTGGGTGTGGCTATGTGGGCGTGGCTCTGTGTGTGTGGCTCTTTGTGGGTGTGGCTATGTGGGCGTGGCTCTGTGTGTGTGGCGATGTGTGGGTGTGGCTATGTGGGCGTGGCTCTGTGTGTGTGTGGCTCTGTGTGGGTGTGTGGGCGTGGCTCTGTGTGGGCGTGACTCTGTGTGGGTGTGGCTCTGTGTGTGTGTGGCTCTGTGTGGGTGTGGGTGTGTGGGTGTGGCTCTGTGTGGGCGTGACTCTGTGTGGGTGGCTCTGTGTGTGTGGCTCTGTGTGGGTGTGGCTCTGTGTGGGCGTGACTCTGTGTGGGTGGCTCTGTGTGTGTGGCTCTGTGTGGGTGTGGCTCTGTGTGGGCGTGACTCTGTGTGGGTGGCTCTGTGTGTGTGGCTCTGTGTGGGTGTGGCTCTGTGTGGGCGTGGTTCTGTGTGTGTGGCTCTGTGTGGGTGTGGCTCTGTGTGGGTGTGTCTCTGTGTGTGTGGATCTGTGTGGGTGTGGCTATGTGGGTGTGGTTCTGTGTGTGTGGCTCTGTGTGGGTGTGGCTCTGTGTGGGTGGCTCTGTGTGGGTGGCTCTGTGTGTGTGGCTCTGTGTGGGTGTGGCTCTGTCTCAGCTGATTCTGCTCCATCCTGCTCCAGGCCTTCCTCATCGCTTTCACGTCGTCCTTTTTGGAAAGATCTTATTACAAGTTCACCAGATGCTCTTCGCTCCGAGGCTTCACCAACTTCACCCTCTCCACGTCCCCAAAGCTCTACAGCGACCTTCACAACGCCACCTGCATGTAACTCCTTTTACTTTCACTTTCACTTTACTGTGACCACATACTGCACAGATATACAATAAAGAGGACTTAGATTGATCCTGTCAGAACCAGACCCAGAGTCTTAGACTGGACACAAACAGGACTCAGAGGGAATTGCTCCTGAGGTTCAGTTTGCTCCTGACCTCAGACTCTGAGGACCGACAGAAATGAATAAAGAATACTTTCCTCTGTCTCCATCGTACGCTGCAGGTACAAAGACCTCAGGACTGAGAACGGGGACTTCAGTCCCGAGTACTACAAGCTGCTGGCCGTCAGACTGGCCTTCGTCATCGTCTTTGAGGTGGGTCTTGAACTGACGCTGCAGGACCTCAAGACCTCTGGTCTTCAGGACCTCACGCTCTGCTCTCCCCAGCACGTGGTGTTCACCGTGGGGCGGCTCATTGATCTGATGGTCCCTGATGTTCCAGAGGAAGTCCAGGTCAAGATCAAGAGAGAGTACTACATGTCCAAGGAGGCGCTGGCAGAGAACCAGGTACAGCAGGAGTCCAGCAGGAGTCCAGCAGGAGTCCAGCAGGAGTCCAGCAGGAGTCCAGCAGGAGTCCAGCAGGAGTCCAGCAGGAGTCCAGCAGGAGTCCAGCAGGAGTCCAGCAGGAGTCCAGGTCTGGGACTACAGCTCCATCATGTGGTTCTACTGAAGAACACACAGAACAATGAAGCTGCAATAAGGAGTGTTTCAACCTCAACACAACAATTCAATTCAACTTATACTTGTATCGGCCTAAATCACAACAGCATCATCTCAAAACAAAATCATTGAAATGACCGACACAGATCAGAGAATCAGCAGTTAACACACACATTATACAGAACACATGTTATTGGTCCATAGGGAGAGAACAATGTCCATACATGTTAAAGACTGTAGAACGAGGACTGAGGCTGTAGACCCAGGACTGAGGCTGTAGACCCAGGATGAGGCTGTAGACCCAGGACTGAGGCTGTAGACCCAGGACTGAGGCTGTAGACCCAGGATGAGGCTGTAGACCCAGGACTGAGGCTGTAGACCCAGGACTGAGGCTGTAGACCCAGGACTGAGGCTATAGACCCAGGACTGAGGCTGTAGACCCAGGACTGAGGCTGTAGACCCAGGACTGAGGCTGTAGACCCAGGACTGAGGCTGTAGACCCAGGACTGAGGCTGTAGACCCAGGATGAGGCTGTAGACCCAGGACTGAGGCTGTAGACCCAGGACTGAGGCTGTAGACCCAGGACTGAGGCTGTAGACCCAGGACTGAGGCTGTAGACCCAGGACTGAGGCTGTAGACCCAGGACTGGCACAGAGGCGTGTCACACCTCGCAGCATGAATCCACAGCTCTGCGAGGTTTGTGTAGAAAAGACAGAACAGACAGATGTTTGTGTGTTTGTGGAGCTGTTTGGACTGAAAGGCAAAAATACACAAAGCTTCTGTTTTGGATTGGCGAGCGGCTCGGTGTGGGCCGGTCCCAGCTCAAAAAGTGACCAAAATGACGTGCGCTGACACGCTGCAATACCACCCCGGGCCTGTGGGGGTGGACCCGGAAAAAGATTTAGCCAATGCTAACATATAGCATCTTCGTACCTCTCAAAAACAGGTTTAAAGGATGGTCCAAAAATGGCTCTTGGTCCAAAAGTGGTTCTTGGTCCAAAAGTGGTTCTTGGTCCAAAAGTGGTTCTTGGTCCAAAAGCGGCTCTTGGTCCAAAAGTGGCTCTTGGTCCAAAAGTGGTTCTTGGTCCAAAAGCGGCTCTTGGTCCAAAAGTGGCTCTTGGTCCAAAAGTGGCTCTTGGTCCAAAAGTGGTTCTTGGTCCAAAAGTGGTTCTTGGTCCAAAAGCGGTTCTTGGTCCAAAAGCGGTTCTTGGTCCAAAAGTGGCTCTTGGTCCAAAAGTGGTTCTTGGTCCAAAAGCGGTTCTTGGTACAAAAGTGGCTCTTGATCCAAAAGCGGTTCTTGGTCCAAAAGCGGTTCTTGGTCCAAAAGTGGCTCTTGGTCCAAAAGCGGTTCTTGGTCCAAAAGCGGTTCTTGGTCCAAAAGCGGTTCTTGGTCCAAAAGTGGCTCTTGGTCCAAAAGTGGTTCTTGGTCCAAAAGCGGTTCTTGGTCCAAAAGTGGTTCTTGGTCCAAAAGTGGCTCTTGGTCCAAAAGTGGTTCTTAGTCCTCTTCGTTCCAGATGCTGTCGATGTTGAGGGCAGTACATGTTTTTGGACCAGTCTAGTTCAGTTGCTGTGGACTTTAGAATGCACTCGTTAAATGAATGGGGCTGGTGCAGCTGACGCATGCACATATTTTTTCACATTTTCCAGCCCCACAGCCATTTTGAAACTGCCCATGTGGTGGCACATGAGTTTGAAGGGCGGAGCTACGTGTGTTAGCATTTACAGTCTATGGGGCTGCTCCAGGCTTCGACAAAGGACGCACAATCAGCCTCGCAGCTCCCTACGCGCTGCTGAGCCAGAGAGTTACTCCAGTGCATCAAGGAACAAAACTCACACAGAGGCCGCTCCTTTGGCCTCTAACACAGCCTCTCTTTAACTCTATCCTTTGCTGAAAAGAAGCCCTAAACCATCATGTTTCCACCCCCATGCTTCAGTGGGTGTGGTGTTCTTGGGATACTCAGTGTTCTTCCTCCAAAAATTAGATCTAGATTCACCGCAACAACATAATTCATCCACAAGTCACTTACCTTTGGACCAGTATCTAACAGAATGCTCTGTTCCATCCCATAATATGATTCAATACCAGGCGTATTGGAGCTACCTGGAGAGGGGATGGCGAGCTACCTGGAGGGGGTGGTGAGCTTCCTGGAGAGGGGGTGGCGAGCTACCTGGAGGGGGTGGCGAGCTACCTGGAGGGGGGGTGGCGAGCTACCTGGAGGGGGTGGCGAGCAACCTGGAGAGGGGGTGGCGAGCTACCTGGAGGGGGTGGCGAGCTACCTGGAGGGGGTGGCGAGCTACCTGGAGGGGGTGGCGAGCTACCTGGAGGGGGGGTGGCGAGCTACCTGGAGGGGGGGTGGCGAGCTACCTGGAGGGGGGGTGGCGAGCTACCTGGAGGGGGTGGCAAGCAACCTGGAGGGGGTGGCGAGCTACCTGGAGGGGGGTGGCGAGCAACCTGGAGGGGGTGGCGAGCTACCTGGAGGGGGGTGGCGAGCTACCTGGAGGGGGTGGCGAGCTACCTGGAGAGGGGGTGGCGAGCTACCTGGAGGGGGTGGCGATCTACCTGGAGAGGGGGTGGCAATTGTTATAGAATTATATACCCCATGAAGGAGGAAACTCAAAGGTCCTTTGTCTGATCAAAAGCGTAAGTTTATTGTTAACGCACAGTGCGGAGAGCCAGCACATACACTCCAAAAGCAGCATGTCCCAGCTCTGGGGGCCAGAGCCCCCAGCTTCCTGTATACAAAACACACACCAAAGATAGTCACGCCCACAACGGAGCGGAGGGGGCCACCGGTGAGGAGGCGCACAGGAAGCGCCGGCGCCATCCCCTGTGGTGGCAGTGGCATGGGGTGTGAACAGACAGACAATGGTGGAAGTGCAGGTCATACAGATGCAAGACGGAAAGACACAGGGGTGTGACAGACAGCAGGGACCTTCACAAAGCTCAGCATGGCGTCAGAAGGTTGTCTGCATTGGTAAAAGGCCTTTGACGTCCGTGTATTTGCTGCGGCTGGTTTTAATGTAATTACTCCAAAAACTGTCACCACACTCCCCTCTTCTGATAATTCAAAACCATTTTTGCATTAATCAGTTAAATACCAGAGGCATCGTAATCACACCACCTTCAAGCTTGAAACACTTAAATTGTTGCTGTCCAAAGTGGACAGGAAAAGACACATGCTTGTCAATAAAAGAAAGAGCACATTATAATAACACAATGGATCCGGACAGCGATAAGAGAAGGCAATATTAACATAATAAACACGGTCAGCACGGAAAGTAGTGTCAGTGTGGCCAGCATAACAGTCCAAGGGCCCATGCCGGTCTACGTTCGGTAGTCTTTTCCGCGGGAATACTCACGAGCAGTGCCGTCTCGCAGTCAGTGGCACCGCTCCCTATGAGCGTGTGTGGAGCGTTAGTGGTCATGGCGATGTTTGGTCTTGGAGCGGCAAGACTCTATTTGCGTTGAAGCCTTGGCCTCAGCACTCGGTTGGGCAGAGTGCTCGGGGTTTGGGGTGTGGAGACCATGGCTTGAGCACGCTCCAGATCGGCCAGGCCCAAAGCTCATTTGATGGGAGACCTCATGACAGCACGCTTCACCATGTGCCTCATCAGGAACTGTAGAGCAGCCCTCATCTCCACCTCCTCCGGACACACGGGAGACGAGACACCAGGGGGCACTCCAGCAGAGCTCCAATCTGCATTATGGCCAGAGGGAACAAGCTCTGGAGAAATCTTTGGAATGAGCAGCAGCTCTGCATACTTGCTGCGGCTGAGCAGAGCGCTCAGGGCCTTCATGGCTCCCAGGCCTTGGGGTCCGGGGGCTGGGGAGTTGGGCAAAGGGGGGTCGCCTCGGGAACGCTGGGAATCTCTGGGTGTTGTTGTTGGCCTGCTTCACCGATGGTGGTCGCACGCCGGCAGACCTATTCAGCGTAGGGAGCCGCGGATGGGCCTGGTCCGTCCGCGCCCTCGGTGTCCTCGTCTATGGCCCTCAGTGGCAGCACCGCACGACAGTGGTTGGCGTGGATCCAAGTTGTCCTCTCCGCGACCTTAACGGCAGTGTCCGTCACCAGGAGGGCGAGGAATGGACCGAGCCAGCGCTTGGACCGCCAATGTTGTCGTCTCGTTTCCTTCACCAGGACTCAGTCGCCTGGCTTGATCCTGTGCAGAGCCGCCTGCGCAGCCTGTGGCAGGGCGCTCCTGACCTGGGCAGAAATAGAGGACAAAAGTGCATTAATTACCTTACAATAGGACAGCATGTCGTCATCACACAAAGAGGTGCTTGGCAGATCTCTGTTCGGGGGTCCCGCGCCCAACGTGGGGCTAGCGGCAGAGCTTTGAGTGCCATTCTCTCGCTCGCACGTGCCTCCGGACCAGGGGGCGTAACTGCAGTGTTTACGTATATCAATGCCCAGAAATTCACCCACTTCCTCAATGACTTTTGCTACAAAGTGACTGCCAGTGTCACTAGAGATTTTTTCTCGGGGCACAATTTTTGTGAGCAGAGCTTTCACCACCGCGTTGCTTGTGGCGTGTATGCCTGCAAATACTTCAGTCCATTTGGACCAGAGATCCGCCAGAACCAGACAGTATTACTTACCTTGGCATGGTGTGAGTTCAACAAAGTCCCTTTGGACATGTTGAAATGGGCGCAGGGGCGGAGGATGAGCAGCCTGTTGGATACTTTTGGGACTTACCTGGGTTGTGCGCGAGGCATATAGCGCATGTTTGGCTGAATCTCTGTGCCAATGCCGTAAACCCCTTTGTATACCAATTCTGTGTGATTAAATCACACATCATCCCTCCTTTTGAGGCATGGTCCCGACCATGTGCTAAAATTGCAAACTGTCTGAAGAAATGCCGTGATAGGCACGGTTTGCTGTCTGGTCCCAGCCACACACACCATGCCGTCGTTGAGCCCCATTCCCCTCCCACAGCAGCGTCTCTGCTGGAGTAGAAAATATCAACGTCTTGAGTGGGGTAGTGTGTGTGTGTGTGTGTGTAGAGGTGCGTATGCCGCTGCCTTGTCCGCGCGCCGATTCCCTGCAGAGATGGGATCAGTGGCATTAGTGTGGGCCTGGCATTTGCATACAGCGATCTCTAAGGGCAACATTACAGCTTTCAGCAGACGTTCAACCTGTGTGGAATTAAGAATTGGTTTACCATCAGATTTCATAAAATTGCGGTGTTTCCACAGTGCTTCCCAGTCGTGCACCACAGAGAAACCATAGCGCGTATCACATAATATGTTGACAGTTTTGCCCGCTGCCAGCTCACACGCCCCGGTGGGCGCGACCAGCTCAGCGGTTTGTGCTGAGTGGTAGTGGGGCAAACTACCAGAGTCTATAGTATCAAAATCAGAACACACAGCATAGCCGACTCGGTTCTTCCCAGTGTTGTCACGTGACGCGGCTCCGTCTGTATAAAAAAAATCAAGTCAGGATTAGTCAGAGGCACCTCTTTCAGGTCTGGCCTGGGAGTGCATCTCTGCTCTATTGTGGCGATACAGCAGTGTGCCTCCCCTTCCTCTGGCGTGAGCAGCAGCGAGGAGGGGTTCAGCTGTGTGCATCCCTTCACCGTAGTTCAAAGAGCACCGTGTTGTACCCCAGCCAACGAGCCGCAGAAAGGCGAGAGGCCCTCTGCTCTAACAGGATCAGGGAAACAGCATGGGGCACAAGCAAAGTTAGTTCAGTGTATCCCACAAGGTCACGTGATGCTAGGGCCGCTTTCTCAGCGGCAGCCACAGCCCGCAGGCAGCGAGGCAACCCTGCTGCCACGGGATCGAGTTTTGCTGAGAAGTAAGCAGTGGGTCTCAGTGGCCCTCAGTGAGGCTGCAAAAGTACCGACTGTTCCGTTCATCTCCAGTTGCTTTTCTCCCGGATCGTCCTCAATTCATATTGTGGGCTTTTGTGCCAAAGTGGAGGCTCATTTCCTCCTGATCCATACTACTGTCATCCCTGGAGCAGGGGTAGTTTATCTCTCATCTGAAAAAGAAATATCAGAACACAAAAAAAAAACAAAAAATGCCCACTTTCGCTTGTCAATCTTTTTCCAATTGGGCAAAACATAACTGCATTGACAGACGGTGTTTGACATCAGGGCAGAGGCTGTAGCAAGATACAGACTTAACAAAATGTATGTTTCTAATTTTATACTCCCCTAAATGTGAGTTTACAAACCAAGTTGTCCTTCAACCAACGACAGCTCACTGCGGTTGGACTGTGTCGCTGTCAGGACAAACAGCAGAGGGAGGAACTCCCAATATCTTCAGCGAGGTATTTCATCTCCGAGTACTCATCCCAGAGTACTCTCACTTTTACACCTGTTCAATAAAGCTTGTTATCTTTGAATCTCTAGTACTTACACCGTATGCTGTTGACAAAAAAATAATTATTCCATGATCACATTAAAACATTACAGACACATTTGTTATTCCATGATTCCGTTCAGCATTCCTCATTTCACTCCTTATTTCACACATCACACTCATATCACAGTCATATCACAGTCACATCACAGTCACATCACAGGCCGATTTCCCACGTTAGTATTTTGGTCCAGTTTGTTAAGGTCAGCGTAGTGTACTTTGACATGACACACAAACATATAACATACACAAAACATATAACACACAAACATGTAACACACACAAACACATAGAAAACACAGAAGGCCTGTAATTTTAACTTTGTTATATTTTCCATGTCCAATTACAATTGTCTCATGAGCTATTCCTTATTGTTGCAACTTTCAGAGCCTGCAGAGCTATAAAAGAGTTTTCCTAAAAGGATCCATTTCCAACTTTAGTGTTTACCACGTGGTCTGTATTTCGGGCTTATCACAGATGGTGTCCCCTATATCTCTAATGAGCTCTTGTCACCTAAAAAATGTTTATTTTCCTTATTTTTTTTTCTTTTTCAATAAAGCCAGGTCGGATTCATTAAAAATGTAAATTAGTCTCAAACTTTAATACTTCACCTTTGTTTCACGATAAAATGTTTTTGTTGCTCATTAAGTAGCACAGATAGTGGTGCCTATCTCAATAAACGTACTCCGTTAGCCTATCTTCCCTACACTGCATGAATTTTCAAACTCCAAGTTATTGTCTGGGAACGACCGGAGAGAGCAGCTTAGGTCGTTCGCGTGGTTGACCTCCAAATTTTGTGCGGGCGTCACTATCCACTTGTTGTGGCTAATAACTTAGCAATCTCAGGGTTTGGTGTCAATTTCCAGTGGTAGTTAACTTTTGGGACCGGTGCCTCCTTTTATTTATCTATTTTTAATTGAGTCTGCACATAAGGTCTCGGCCTAGTAGGTTAACCGGGCACAATGGGGAATATAGAAAAGAATGTTTAAGCTGGTTGCCCTGAGAATCAAAACACGTTAGCGGTGACGTAAATTGCTCTTTAGTCGTCTCTCCGACGCTGCTAATTAGAATATGAAGCGGCCACTCATTTTAGGGGAGACAGAAAGGCTGTCACTTTTAGCACAGAATTTGTTGCCCCGGAGTCATCCAGAATTTTAACTTGTACACCACAGGTTGTTAGCGTATATTACGGGCATGAATTATCTCTAAAAAGTGCCAATTGCAATTTGTTGTTGTTCAACTTACATGAGCGGTCGCTTTGGTGACGAATGTGAACCCGGTTTGGTCAGTCGCTCGTGTTTTCCTCCGTGCCCGCCTCTGCCGTCCTCTGGCCCCGTGTTAGCTTGAGCGTTCCTCTGCCTTTAACGCCTCCTCCGGTAACAGTCCTTCGACCCATGTCGAGCACACAGTCTTTCCGCCGGGCTGTGGAAGTTTTTCAAAGTCCGCAGGAGGCCCAGGTAGCCCAAAGCGTTAGCATGTGGTCCATGAGGGTTGGTGAATGACCCAAACGTGCCGGTACTTTTGGCTTCTTCTGTTTGCGGTGCGGGGGCAACTTTCAAGCGGGTTTCCGCGGGTGCGTTTGGTATATCACGCTGCCCCCTCCGTGGAGAACAGTCACGGGATTTGGAGCAATTTCTCTCTGTGCTCCAAAGCAGTTGTCGGTGTCTCACATATTTGTTTCCCCCGTTTCTTCTTCTGTGGTTTCCTGAGCGTGTGTCTGCTTCCGCCACTTCTTCTTCTGCGGTTTGGGCCCACTTCTCGCGGGGTCTCAGCTGGTGCGGGCGCCGCCTGTGGTTGGGGCGTGGGGCTGGTGCTTTGAGGCAGAGGACAGTGCGCGGAGGAAAGGCGCCGACAGACCTGGATAAGGGAGAGGGAAAAGAGACAACAGTAGTCTGCTTCATTTTTTAAAAACCCAACGCCTTGTTTGGGTGCACACTTATTGTTAGTAGGGGTAGGGTGGGGGTGTGGGGGATGTGTGTGTGTGTGTCCGCCTCTGTGTTCTCCGCTTCGGTGAAGGGCGGAGGAGCTATTGTTTTTACATATTTCTTTCTCTAACCTCTTTTGCCGTGATATTCTTAAAACCAAGTATATTTTTTCTTCCCTTCTTCTTCTAAATTATCACGCAAGATGCGTAATGGCCTGCACCATAGGCAAGCACTCCATAGCTTGCATCTCCTAGATTGATTTTTACCCATTTTCTCGTACGAACAATGGGCCTAACCCGCTTAGTCTCTCCCTGCTCCTACCCACTTTGGGGCGCTCCATTCCCCCCTCGCTGGTTCAACCAGCGAGCGCGCGTTCTTGAAATGGAGCGGTTCTGGCTGAAGACACTTGGAGAAATTTTCAGGGTCGCCTACAGGACGATACTAACGCGCAGCCGCTAGTTTTCAATCTAGAACAAAAAGCCCCCCAAAAAATCCCGCACACAGACTATGCTGTGGCAATGAATGAAATACCCCAAAAATACATAAATAAACAAATCCCCGTGTACACTTAAGTGCTGCCCTGGGCTCGTTACGCAGATGAAAAGACAAGACTCACCAGATTAGGTTCTTTTTGGTCTTGTGTGGCAAAAGGATTCCTTCCGTGCGTGGACGAGCGCGCTCTCCTTGTCTCCAAAAAGGAACAGAGGCTGGTGATCCAGGTCGGCCAAACAAAGCCGCTCGTCCCGCCGAAAGTATCCCATGCCAAGACATGTCAGCAACGCCAAATTGTTATAGAATTATATACCCCATGAAGGAGGAAACTCAAAGGTCCTTTGTCTGATCAAAAGCGTAAGTTTATTGTTAACGCACAGTGCGGAGAGCCAGCACATACACTCCAAAAGCCGCATGTCCCAGCTCTGGGGCCAGAGCCCCCAGCTTCCTGTATACAAAACACACACCAAAGATAGTCACGCCCACAACGGAGCGGAGGGGGCCACCGGTGAGGAGGCGCACAGGAAGCGCCGGCGCCATCCCCTGTGGTGGCAGTGGCATGGGGTGTGAACAGACAGACAATGGTGGAAGTGCAGGTCATACAGATGCAAGACGGAAAGACACAGGGGTGTGACAGACAGCAGGGACCTTCACAAAGCTCAGCATGGCGTCAGAAGGTTGTCTGCATTGGTAAAAGGCCTTTGACGTCCGTGTATTTGCTGCGGCTGGTTTTAATGTAATTACTCCAAAAACTGTCACCACACGAGCTACCTGGAGAGGGGGTGGCAAGCTACCTGGAGGGGGTGGCGAGCTACCTGGAGGGGGTGGCGAGCTACCTGGAGGGGGGGTGGCGAGCTACCTGGAGGGGGGGTGGCGAGCTACCTGGAGGGGGTTGCAAGCAACCTGGAGGGGGTGGCGAGCTACCTGGAAGGGGGTGGCGAGCAACCTGGAGGGGGTGGCGAGCTACCTGGAGGGGGGTGGCGAGCTACCTGGAGGGGGTGGCAAGCTACCTGGAGAGGGGGTGGCGAGCTACCTGGAGGGGGTGGCGATCTACCTGGAGAGGGGGGTGGCGAGCTACCTGGAGAGGGGGTGGCAAGCTACCTGGAGGGGGTGGCAAGCTACCTGGAGGGGGTTGCGAGCTACCTGGAGGGGGGGTGGCGCGCAACCTGGAGGGGGGTGGCGAGCTACCTGGAGGGGGTGGCGAGCTACCTGGAGGGGGTGGCGAGCAACCTGGAGGGGGTGGTGAGCTTCCTGGAGGGGGTGGCGAGCTACCTGGAGGGGGGGTAGCGAGCTACCTGGAGAGGGGGTGGCGAGCTACCTGGAGAGGGGGTGGCGAGCTACCTGGAGGGGGTGGCGAGTTACCTGGAGAGGGGGTGGCGAGCTACCTGGAGAGGGGGTGGCGAGCTACCTGGAGAGGGGGTGGCAAGCTACCTGGAGGGGGGTGGCGAGCTACCTGGAGGGGGGGTGGCGAGCTACCTGGAGGGGGGGGTGGCAAGCTACCTGGAGAGGGGGTGGCGAGCTACCTGGAGAGGGGGTGGCGAGCTACCTGGAGAGGGGGTGGCAAGCTACCTGGAGGGGGATGGCGAGCTACCTGGAGGGGGTGGCGAGCTACAGGCTGGAGGAGACCCCTATAATGTGTATTTTCATGAACTTGGTTTTTCAGCAAAACGGTAGAACGTGTGTTTTGTTGTTTTCCAGGCGTTCGGAGCCGCTCTGATCCCGCTCATGAAGGAGGAGTCCCGGGGGCAGCTCAGCGTTCCTCTGGGAGCAGGATCCTGAGCCGGCCTCGGTCTGGAATCTTTTATTATTGTTTTATTCTTGAACACGAGCAGACGCCACAGGTGCAGAGGCCACAGGAGCTGCTGCTGTGGCAGAGTTCAGCCCAAAGTGTGTGACTGTTGTGTGTCCTGTTGTGTAGTGGTCACTGACACAGATGAAACTGGGACCAGATCCTATGGAGGGTTTCACAGGTGCTTCCTCCCTGCTGCTGTCAGACTGTACAACGAGAACTGCTGAGTCTGTAAAGTGCCACTGATCATAATGAACTCGTCATTGAACCTGTTATTATTATTATTCTGCTCATATTCTCCGTTGCTAAAGTACAACATCTGTAAATACTCCTGAACCAAGTGCCATTAAAGCTCCTGAGTTTATTTTACTCTATTTCGTATTATTTAAATTCTATTGTCGATCATCTTAAATAATGGACCGTTTGATATGTGCTAATGTCCTTCTTGTCTCTGCTGTAATGTGCGACGATGACGCTGGAATCTCCCGACTGTGAGACCAATAAAGGAACATCTGAGCTTATTATTATCAGTATATTTATTACTATTTATTATTTCACTTTAGTCACATCAGCTCCTCTGAAGTCTGAGCCACACTGGGATTCTAATGTTTTTACCGTTCTCTTTGTATTTCCAAAAAGGACAATGTATTGTGTTGTATATATATTTTTTACAGTTATCATATATGCTAAAAGTTAACCATCAGACCTGGCAACCCGTTCCTCTGCTGCTCTGGCAACCCGTTCCTCTGACGCTCTTTTCACCTTGAGCAGGATTCGTATCAGATGTGTTTGACTCTCTCAGTCTGAGGGCTGGGGGCAGGGCTGTCTCTGATTGGCCGAGGGAGCTGAAGACCCGCCTTGACGCCTTAGATTGACAGAAACGATTATCGCCTCAGAGTTTGAATATTGTGAATAAATGACTAAATGAATAGAGTTTTGGGTTAAACTGTCTTTTTAACAGTTCTGACATAAAGACATTTAAAAGGCCTTATTTCTAACATTCTTAGTTTTATAAACATTTCTGGACCATCAAAGCCTCCGACCAAACACCATGAACTCGTTACATTCAGACTGTTGTACATGGTTTTAGTGGTGGGAGAAACTGGACTAAAGAATTGAAGTGACCCTAAGACCAGAGAGAGACCAGAGAGAGACCAGAGAGAGACCAGAGAGAGACCAGAGAGAGAGACCAGAGAGAGACCAGAGAGAGAGACCAGAGAGAGAGACTAGAGAGAGACCAGAGAGAGAGACCAGAGAGAGAGACCAGAGAGAGGCCAGTGAGAGAGACCAGAGAGAGAGACCAGAGAGAGAGACCAGCGAGAGAGACCAGCGAGAGAGACCAGAGAGAGATCAGCGAGAGACCAGAGAGAGAGATTAGAGAGACCAGAGGGACCCCCAGAGAGAGAGCAGAGAGAGACCAGAGAGAGATACCAGAGAGAGAGACCAGAGAGAGAGACCAGAGAGAGAGACCAGCGAGAGAGACCAGAGAGAGACCAGAGAGAGACCAGCGAGAGAGGACCAGAGAGAGACCAGAGAGAGAGACCAGAGAGAGAGACCAGAGAGAGAGACCAGAGAGAGAGAGACCAGAGAGAGAGACCAGCGAGAGAGACCAGAGAGAGACCAGCGAGAGAGACCAGAGAGAGAGAGAGAGATTAGAGAGACCAGAGGGACCCCCAGAGAGAGAGCAGAGAGAGACCAGAGAGAGATACCAGAGAGAGAGACCAGAGAGAGAGACCAGAGAGAGAGACCAGAGAGAGACCAGAGAGAGAGACCAGAGAGAGAGACCAGAGAGAGACCAGAGAGAGAGGCCAGAGAGAGACCAGAGAGAGAGACCAGAGAGAGACCAGTGAGAGAGACCAGAGAGAGAGACCAGAGAGAGACCAGAGAGAGAGACCAGAGAGAGACCAGAGAGAGACCAGAGAGAGAGACCAGAGAGAGACCAGAGAGAGAGACCAGAGAGAGACCAGAGGGAGACCAGAGAGAGAGACCAGAGAGAGACCAGAGAGAGACTAGAGAGAGAGACCAGAGAGAGAGACCAGAGAGAGAGACCAAAGAGAGACCAGAGAGAGAGACCAGAGAGAGACCAGAGAGAGACATCTTGGGCTGAGCCCATCTGGAGATAGTTCCTGGGCGTTGTTACTACAGATTTGCGGTCACATGAATCTGTAAAGGTTGATTTGGTTAATCCGCCGAATCAAAGATCAGGAACTGATCTTTGATTCGTCGGCACGGTGGCTGAGTGGATAGCACTCTCGCCTCTCAGCAAGAAGGTCCTGGGTTCGAATCCCGGTTGGACCAGGGCCTTTCTGAGTGGAGTTTGCATGTTCTCCCTGTGTCTGCGTAGGTTTCCTCCGGGTGCTCCGGTTTCCCCTACCACTAAAAATATGTACAATAGGTCTGGCATGTGCCTCCTGTACTGGCCCCACTCCTGGCATGTGCCTCCTGTACTGGCCCCGCTCCCATCTCTGTGTGGAGTGAGAGACAAATGCCCAAAATTAACAATTGTAAACCGCTTTGAGACTCCGATGTGCAGTGAAAAGGCGGTATATAAATAAAGATTACTACTTACTTACTTACTTACTAAAACATTGTGCTCCCAACCTTTACAGATTCATGTGACCGCAAATCTGTCTTTGCTGCGTATATGTGTGTGTGTGTGAAGGAGTCGGTGAGTGCAATGTTATTGTTATGCTAATGCTAACCAGCGCAAAATGCTATCCGGTGCTGGCATTTATCGCTATGTGAGATTTTTATGAAGCTAAATCAGCTAAACTATAAGTGTGTGCCTCACTCTAAGGTACCTGTTTAATGTAAATGAGTGTGAGCTTTTACTGTCATGAACAACCCATGGTTATTTCATGTATTCACCTGGTAGATAAGGGAATATTTATACATGCATATTTGTACACAAGCCAGGCGTAGGAGACTGCTTATTGCCATTGGCGACCTGCCGTGAGAGTACTCGAGTACTGCCAGCAGCCGTCCTACAGTTACCTGTGTGTGATCAGCCTTCACGTCTGCTGCGGTAGGACACGCTGTAGGCACTCGCTCACTCCCACCGCCTCCTACATCACGAGGGTTTGGCCGGGGAGCGTCATATGGACCATAGAACTGTTCTCTTGGACTAAAAGGCTCTATCGGACTCTGAGCGTGAACTCGGTGGATGGAAAGAGCGGTTTTTTGTTTTTGTTTTGTAAGTATTCAAGTGCACTTGAGCCTGTAAATATTGTAAATACCCCTTCGTCAAAATATCAATAACACAAATATTTAGCTAGCATCCCAGTTGTCTTGAGTATTTCATACGCACTATCATTTCCTCCCAGAGAGAACTTCATTTTCTGAGTAGTCTTAGTCAGATTACATTTTACAAGGAAAGTTTCTATATTTGCGATTTAGCGATTCAGTAACTCTTATGCACAGACGTGTTCCATTGTTGGACATAAGTGTTTTCTCAGTAATAACTGTGTTTGTTCCTTTCATGGAACTGTTTGACTTTGTCTTTGTCTCGTTTCTGTGATTTCACTTTTGTCGTCGCTTCATGTTTTTCATTTCAGTGAATTCTGTCGATATTATTTTATTATTTCATTTTAAGTGTATTTTCTGTGTTTCTGAACATGTTCTGAGCTCGAAAAGACGCTTTTGAAAAACTCTCAAGGTCTGATTCTGAAGAGAGCAGAGCGTGGGCAGAGAGTGAGCTGAGACCGAACCAGGCTGAGACCGGACCATGCTGAGACCGGACCAGGCTGAGACAGGACCAGGCTGAGACCGGACCAGGCTGAGATCGGACCAGGCTGAGACCGGACCAGGCTGAGACCGGACCAGGCTGAGACCGGACCAGGCTGAGACCGGACCAGGCTGAGACCGGATCAGGCTGAGACCGGACCAGGCTGAGACCAGATCAGGGTGAGACTGGATCAAAGTCTGGGTCTGAAGAGAGCGGAACGTGGGCAGAGAGTGAGCTGTTACGTACATGGACAGCACCTGCCTCAACTACAGTGTGTTTTCTGACATAAACTGTAGAGGGCGCAATACGTCAAATGACAACACTCTTCTGTGATATCTCCGCATCTGAGGACAAATAGTTGCCGAAAAGTAGAACACGGGCAACTGACTGAATCTAGAGATGGACAGTTTATCTCCAGTTGTAAGAGCGCTCACATGGACAGAGTTCAGCTGATCCTCTCCATCATCTGCTCCGTCGCCAAAATCCTCAGAGAGTCTCCAGTTCCTCTGTCCATGTACGCTAGGCTCTAGATCCCTTCTACATGAACCATCAAAGTCAGCAACACTGAGTCTTTCTGTCATGTGTTCATCAGAGTCACTTCTGTTGTCGTCTTTTTATGCAGCTGAGTGGGTTATGGGTGCACCCTCCACCCCTCCCACCCTCACCCTCACCCTCACCCTCCGCTGCTCACCCTCACCCTCACCCTCACCCTCCGCTGCTCACCCTCACCCTCACCCTCACCCTCACCCTCTGCTGCTCACCCTCACCCTCACC